CCCCGTAGATCTATCTTCCAGTTATAAGAAATAAAAGGAATAGAGAAACTGGTTAGACCACACTACAAGGGGGCACCCAAAAAACCCCAGAATTATGTTTTGGAGGACAGGTCCCTTGTAGTACAGGCTTCCCCTGCTAGGTGAGTGTTCTGGGGACCCATCTGTATCATCGTACCAGCTGGCATTTTGGGTGGCTGCGTTAGGCTTCAGTGAAATTTTTTTGAAGACTCTTTCAGTGCGTTTGCCCATTTTGTGATAATGCACCTGCCCACACTGCACTGAGTGTTAAGCAGCTTTTGACCAAAAATGGCATGATCCTGTGTCCTACCCGCTCTATTCACCCAGTCTCGCCCCACGTGATTTTTTTTTTGTTTGTTTCTGTGGATGAGAAAAGTTCTCAAAGGGAAACATTTTGCTGATGTGTAAGAGGTAAAACAAAAAATGGCAGAAGCACTAAAAGGCATCAAAATCAAGGAGTTCAAACTGTTTTGAACAGTGGAAAAAGTCTTGATATGTGTATTGCATCAAATGGAGAGTACTTTGAAGGCGACTGAAGTTTAAACATGTAAGAATAAATACACAATTTTTTATAAATAAATTCTGATTAGTTTTGGGTCCCCCATTGTATGTAGAATTAGACACAGCCATAACATGAGACATTTAACAAGAAAATTGGCCCCAGCTTGTCAGTAAGTCAATGTCTTAGGGAAAACAGGGCAGTAGGGGAAACCATTCTGTATTCAGAAAGACCTATGAGACATAATCAAAGGGAGCTTCATACCTTTATTGTATCCTAGAAGGAACAAATCAGCTGTAAAAGGCGTTTTTCTGATAATATGGGATATTTGAATATGAACATTGTGTTAGGTGATATTAGAATATTACCTTCTTAGGTGCAATAATATGGTTTTATAGGAAAATGTCCTCATATTTTGTATGTTACTTTGCTTTTAATTATTAACAATATGTTGTATGTCCTCAACGTCATTAATAGATTCCTAGAAACTGATTTTAAATGAAACAATGGATAATAAAACCATTTTCATCATAGGCTAATTGATATAAAATAAGAGCTAAGTTCTTATGACATATTTCTGGTCACAGAAACATCACCAAGCTTCAAATAAATACCCAAAATACTTATAATATTAAACTTTGAAATAAATGTGAGCTATACATACACTTAAGAAAGATGAGTAAAACCAAGTAAGATAATTATTTTACTTATTCCGTTTCAGGATCATGGGTGGCCAGAGCTTATACCCATGACTCTTATCCACAGTACAGGGCACAGGTGGGACCCCATCCTGGACCAGACGCCCTTCCATTGTAGGGTGCCTCATACACTCAAACTCAGAGAGTTTAGACATGCCAGTTCCCCCCATGTGCACATCTTTGGCAGTACTTAGAGAAAACTCACACAGACATGGGGAGAACGTGCAAGCTCCACACAGATAGTAGCCCTGCTGGAAATTGATTTTTTTTTCCTGATCACTATTACAACAAAAGGATATTGAATGAAATGACAGTATTTGACATTGAGGACTTGCTTTATTCTGAAAATAAGGCCCTTCACCAGTTTTCCAATTTTAATTTGGTAAATGCAGTATACATGGAAGAAAATCATGCAAATGTAACAAAGAAATGAGGCCAGAAGAGAAGTGCAGTCTGTAGAGGTATTAAAAAATGTCAAAATCACCCCTCTTTCCTCTTTCACCATCTCTCCATGCTGCCATAATGGTGCACATGAATGTCGTGGCTGATGCTCTCAAGACTATCAACAGTGCTGAAAAGAGAGGCAAATGCCAGGTTCTTTTTACACTGTGCTCCAAAGTCATTGTTTGGTTTCTAACTGTGGTGATGAACCATCGTTACATTGGCAAATCTTAAATTACCAATAATCACAGAGTTAGGAAAATTGTGTGAACTTCAGGGGCAGGTTAAACAGGTGTGGAGTAATCAGCCCCAGATTTGATGTGCAATTCAAAGATCTAGAAAAATGGCAGAACAACCTGCTCCCACCAGCAATTTGGTTTCATTGTACTGACAACCTCAGCAAGCATCATGGGCCATGAAGAAGAAAGATAAAAACACATAGGAGGGAAAATCCTGGGATTCTTTTTCTAGGGATATAATACTATGTGCAAATACAATGCCTCAATAAGAAAAAAAAAAGTCAAAATCATCAGGAAAGTCTCTAAAGCAATCAGAGAAAAATTCTCAGAAATCATCAACATCTAGTTGGAGGGGACTGTAAATATCTTGAGGTAGTATCAGAAGTAGGAAATATGTGGTCCTTATGCTATCACTCCCAGGTAAAAGATGTTGCTAATCAATCTGGCTTTTATTCCTGTTTAGAAATGGTGCCACTGAATCATTTTTAGTGTTGTTCTCTATAGCCAGTCACTACCAGTTAATACTTCGTTGTCACTTGATGTGAAAACTGTTTTACCATGTCTCAAACTCATTCATTTAACAGAAGGGGACACTGAGGCAGGGTGGTATAGTGGTAAGCTTTGGGGACACACATGAGTTAAAAGTATTTGCAGGGTTTCTTCAATAAAAGGCTACTCTTTTTTTTGGCAAGAGTACTTGTTTATGAGCTAACCAATGTTGAGTGTGAATTTTATTAGGTTATCAAGCAGTCACAATTTTGTAAGTTTGTTTGGAGATGGGTATTGGTTTAGAAGATCCTCTTTCCTATGGCATTGTAATCAAGACCTTAAGAGTCATGTAATAAGCCAATGTAAATCAATGTAATATCTAATTTGATATTAAAATTAATATCAAATTTGAATGCTGTTAAGTTACATATATTAAAAATAGTGTTTTAATGTTACATCTATATTACTCTGAATTTTCTTTTAAAAATGTATTCAGTCTAGAACTTGCCCTAAAAACAGTTGCTTTTATGTTGCTAGCATTTAAAATTAAAAAAAAATTTTTATCGTTCAAATACATTTGTCTCCATTTTCCTGCCACCACTTTCCCCTGCCCCACCCTCCCCCACCTCCCACCCTCAATCCATCTCCACTTAGTATTTAAAATTTTTAAATTGGTATTTGGTTATTTAACATTTAATTCTCCATATGCATTATTTTACCATCATAATTACTATTTTTTTAAAAAAGAGATGATTTAGTAGTGAATTTTTCTGGTTCTACTGAATTATTGGGATTTGGCAGCTTCTCAAGGCTTTCCAGAGTGCCTCAGACACATATTACACTCTCAAGATTTGACAGTGTAATATGTTTTATTAGTTAATGATCTTCAAATGACTTAGGTTGTATCTTTCTTTAGCAGATTGTTTAGCTAAAGCCAGTCGCAGTGGCAGAGAGTAGACTAGTTGAGAATAAGTATTCTTTAGCACATTTAAGTAATATTTTGGGAAAATATTTATATTTTACTTATTGTCAGTGTTCTAATAAAAATACTTACTTGGGACTGATAGTTTTCTGCATGTAATCTTTATCAAAGGTCAGTGACCCATAGGGGAAACAAGTTTAAGACACATAAAAGCGTGATTTACAGTTGAGTAATTGGTTAAGTTCATGTTATAGATATTTCATATCTATAAGGAACAGTAGTAACAATAAAAATCCCAGATCTCATACAAGGTTGTGGTGCTGTGAAAAGAAGATGCTTATATAGCATATAGTAACTTAAAAACCTTTACAACTATAGGTGTTTTTTTCTTTTAAATATGAAAAAAGCACAGGATTTCTCTAAGTTTTAGGCCTCATACTTCCTTTTCTTTTGAAAGTTTAAGCAGTTCAGGTTATTTTGGATTTAGTTTTAAAATGTGGATTTCCTTTTTTTTTTCTTTCTTTAAGGGCATGATAATTTATTTGAAAAAAATTGTGCTCTACTGATCATGGTGCTCAGCATACATGTCTTACGGCGTCTTTCTTGGATATTAACAATTTGGTATTTTTGTATGCTTAAATGCTTCAACAGGACCAAGCTATTGATATTTATAGAAATAAAGAGACGTTTTCAAATGGAAATAAAGACTAGTTGTTTTGGAGTTCTGTGATGCATAGTTCATTTAATCCCTTATGATTCATTAGCATTATAGTGGAATATTAAAAAAAAAAAAAGGAAATTCTTTCATACTTAAGCAACTTGAATTTATACGTTCTCATATTTTGGTCTTCAGCTGTCTTCACCTTGACCAGAGCATAATAATGGAGGGCTTCAGATAATTTCCCTCCTGCTGTTGCTAAAATGTGGATATTATTTACCTGTGTTCTATTTATTGCCTCTTTGCCTGCCTGGATCAGTTCACATGTACTAGTTTTCAGTTTTGCTTTTCCAAATTATTGCTTTTTTCTATGAATTCTCGAGAGTTGTAAACATGTATTGCAGTTATTTGTTGTTAGCTAGTACAATACCTGGTGAACAAGTGATTCAAGCCATTTTCTTTTAAATTGATTATATATATTTTAATATATCCCCCTATTATTAAATTATTTAGGTAGTATTTTTTACATCATTGCTACTTACAAATTGTTTATTCCCAAATGTTACTGATAACATGGTCATTGGAAGAAGAAAAATTATTTCATCTATACAGTTATGTGGGGCTCATATGTAGCTTAAAATACTTACTTTAGGAAAAATTTTTCTTTAAATATAATGGTAAGTATTTATAACATAAACCACAAATTTTTTAAATGGTTAGTTTTTTAAAATTAAATATCACTTTACAAAATGGCAGTGATGGACAATAAGTGACCAGTCTTATAAGCTGCTTTGAAAAAAATAAACATTTATTTTGACATATTTGCTTTAGTCTTTTATAGATGAGAAATCCCCCATTGAAAAAATTTCCCTGCCTTTAGACAATTTGAAGTGAGGATTTATTTCTCTTTTAACTGTTGACTCTAAGTTCACATTTTTGCACATATGCATAATTATGCAAATGAAGATTTTGTTATAAATATGTTAATTTTTATTCTTTAGACAGAATTTTCTATTAAATATTTGCTTCTTTGCAGGTATATTTGCTTACTTAAACTATCATGTTCCTCGCACAAGACGAGAAATCTTGGAGACCCTAATCAAAGGCCTTCAGAGACTGGAGTACAGAGGATATGATTCTGCTGGTATGTCCTTTTAAAAAAATATTATGGGTTTGCGTGATTCTTGAATCTAAATAGAAAGTTTTTATATTAGGTGACTAGAATCTTTAGTAATATTTGTTTTGGGCAAATCTAAAATCTAAAGAATTTTTGTATAATGTTTAAAGAGTTTGTTTATGTAATTTCAACAGTACTATCATTTACATAGAGTATTGCCTCTAATAGGTTTCTTCTTTTGCTAAGAATGTTATTGTATAAACATAAATCATCTGGGGACTTTTCCATGGTTGGTAGAACAAAGATCTTGAAGGCCTTACTCTATAAATTATCTTTTTTCTTTTCTATAAATTTCATTTTCTCCAGATAGATATTCCAGACTTTCAGCATATAAACTTAAGAGTCTTCTACCTTACATAAATTACAAAGCAGATAAAAATAACTTTTTGTCAATTTTAAGTTCTACTCTAGCTCCTTTTCTTAACTGTATTGGGGGTCCTCAAGACCACCTTCAGATTTGATGATTTTGTGAAAAGATTCAGCATAGAGTTGTGCTCATGGCTCTGATTTATTACAAAAAAATAATACAAAGCAAAAATCAGCAAAGAGAAAAGGCGCATGGGGTGAAGTCTGGAGGAAAGCCGGCAGAAGCTTGGAAGGGTTCTCTCCCGGTGGAGTCTCAGTGGATGCCCTAAATTTGCCCAGCAAATGTTGACAATATGTGTGAAATATTGTCTACCAGGGAAGCTCATTAGCAACTGAGTGCCCAAGGCTTTCATTAGGGTCACATAGACACCCTCTGTCTAAAATGTCCCAAAATTGCAGATTCCTAGAAGAAGAGAAGCAGGTGTTCAGCATAAGCCACATGGTTGCACCAGTGGTTTAGGTGCAGTGAGCCATTCTTCATCAGTTAGGATGGTGTGAACCCTCCTGAAATCCAGGGTCTATCTTTGCATGCAGACGTGTCTAAGGATACCAGTGCAAGCCTGCTCTGTTAACTCTGTTTTGTGCATTTAGCATTGCTAGCTGTAATGAGCATTATCTTCCATGATATTCCTCAGTTAATGGAAAGACAATTTCTCAACTACTTTGTTCTTAAAATTCTCCCTTTCCTTAGCTTCTCTGATAACACATCTCATCTTTTTTCCGTGCTAATTATTTCTTTTCTTTCTGTTTTGGGAGCTCCTTTTCTCACCCCACTCTCTAATCAATTCTTTCTGTGTGCCTTTTATTACTAAGTCCTTTCATTGAGCCTAGGAGATATCTCAGCCTTCTCCTGCTTCCTCATGTTACATTCAGTCATTTCTACACAATATCACCTATATCTATCTTCATTAGCACAGTTTAATTCAGGTCCTCTTCCTTCGTGCTTTGTTAAAGCTGTAACTTCTGAACTGGTTTCTTCTTTCTATTGCTCCAGTCTATCCTCTTATACTGTTTCCAGAGATTTTTCTAAACTTTTTTGCCCTTTAATTTCTCCACTTGAAACTTCTCTGCTTTCCAGTACCCTCAGAATAACTTTTTCAGATTCCTTAGGATCTTAAGTGGAATCTTGAGAGAGTATTTATTCCCTGACATTCTCTCTCTATCCCAGTCGAGTGGTGGGTGCCCATCTTCTCTGTTTCTCCACTATACTTCAGTTACAACCTGTAATACTTTCATTATAACCTGAAACCACACTGTATGCAATTATTTTTTTTCTTTGTCTTCTTAATACACTATTAGGAATTTGTGGACAGGAACTGAGTTATTTTATTTTTTGTCTGTAGCAGCTGTCCTGGTTCTTGACATATAATAGGTGTTTCGTATATGTTGAATCGGTAAGGAAATGAATTAATTAGATGAAAAATATTTTAATTAAAAGTTTTGCCTCACACTGTAAGTAATAGCCAGTTTTTAATCTTGCTGTTAAGACTACCTTTTGATGTTTCAGGTGTGGGAGTTGATGGGGGGAATGACAAAGATTGGGAAGCCAATGCCTGCAAGATCCAGCTCATTAAGAAGAAGGGGAAAGTGAAAGCCCTGGATGAAGAAGTTCACAGTAATGTACTTAGTTTGATTTTGTCCCCCTGCCCCTTCTCTTCCTTCTCCCTTCCTCATCCAGTTATCTTTCTTCCCATATTTTGGGTCACATTCAGTGACTCTAAAAGTTGAAGGGAGAGAAGAAGAGTAGTTTTGTTATTGTCCGTATTGGCTTTAAAATGTACCTGAGCTTCAAAAATGATCATATTGATTAGGGAAGGAAATTAGGCCAGCTGTGTCCAGAGCAAGATCGGTATTCTAAAATGAAATTGCCATAATTCATGAGGAAGGGCCTTTCGTAGGACAAAAATAGGGAAGATAACGTTTGTTGATGAAATGGTAAGTCGTCCTTTTTAAAAAATATTTTATTGAATTTATTGGGGTGACATTGGTTAATAAAATATAGTTTTTAGGTTAAATAGTCTTTTTTTAATCTATATTATTGGTAGATATGCATGGGAGGCCAGAAAAGCAGGTTGCGACCAGGACCACCATCTTTGAGTGTCAACATTGAAACATACTCCCTCTTTTCATACAGGAAAGTCAGGAAGTAGTAGGGAAATGGGAAATTGCAGACATTGTTGGTGAATTCTTAATTGATAAATCACTTTAAAGAGCAATCTGGCAATGTCTGTATGGGAGATGCGTATACCCTGTGACCAGTTACTTCCACTCTTGGGCATATACTTGAAAGAAAGTCTATAGGCACAGAGCCATGACAAGAAGAGTCATTGCAACAAAATTTAGAAACAACGCCGATGTTTACCAGTCAGGGAATAGGATAATAAGTTGTAATGATAGTCAATGACCATATATAGCTTTTGAAAGGAGTGCACTGGATGTGGTTCTGCATGTGGGCACCTGGAGAATTACTGGGATCCTAATGTTCAGTAAAAAAGCAACTTGCAGTAGGATATGTAAAGTATAGGACCATTTAAAAAACATAAACAATGTGTATTGACAAAAAACATGAATGTCCTACAAGGTAAAAAGCTTTTATCATTTCAGTATTTACAACATTGTTGTCATTAAATATTTGCTACCTCAAAAAAACCCATAAAGAATACTATAATTTATGGACACATATTAGCATAATAGAAGTTTAAAGGCGCAGTGGAGTGGATTCTCTATCAACTTGAGAATCCTCTGAGGAGGAATGGGATGGGCAGGGTACAAAGGGGGTATCAAACACATCTTTTTACCTTTTAGATCTTAACAAAGATCTAAAGCACAAATAGTTAGATGTTAACTTTTGTTAACTCTGGGTATAGATATTTGGATGTTTGTGATGTTTGTGATATTTATATTATTCTTAGTCAAAAGGGAAGGAAGACTTCTCAGAAAAGGCCTTTGTATTTGTCGAGTAAGAGGTTATTGGTAGCGTCTGGCTTTGAAATAGCTATCTTTTATTGATTGCTTCCTGTGTTCCAGGTACTCTTGTAAGTGCCTCATGTGTATTAACTCATTTATTCCTCATTATAATCCTTGAAGTAGGTAAAATTATATCCTCATTTTGCAGATGAGGAAATTGACAGTAGTAAATAGTGTCTTTAGTTGGTGCTGGCAATAAAGGTCATGAAATTTGGGGCAAAGGCAGAGAGGGAGCTGCTGTTCTAAGGAGTGACAAACATTAAAGATATTTTACACTGTATGTCTTAAAAAAGATGTAACACACAAATGACTGTATGTTGACATTTGTTATCTCTGGATGTAGGTACTTGAGTCTTTATCATTGACAGAAAATTTAAATGTTTGAACTTTTAAAATAAAAAAGAACGATGACATCTGAGAAAAAGTATGAAGAGGGCAAAAAACCTTGGGCATGAAAGTAGTGGGAAGATAGAAGATGCAAATATGGAAATTTTTGAGGGATTCCAGCTCAGATAGATGAAGGCACAGATAGGGAGTTAGCCTTTCATAGGAGTCAAAGGTAAAAGAAAAGCTAAGTCAGACAGTTAGGAGGTGAGGGGAAAAAGCTGACTGAAGTGGAAATTGAGGGATGATAGGTAGGATTGAGGCTCAAGGAGAAAGAAAAGATGTCCTGATCTGTTGGGGAATTGAATCAACTATCGACTTACTGAATAAGGTACATGGGTACATGTTCCTTAAATGACATCAGTGAAATAAATAGACTTGGTAATTACCAAACATGAACTTAACATGATTTAATTTACATAATCTTGCTAAAGGCTCTCCAGTGTTGCTTGCCACCATGTGGAGGGAGATATTGCTTTAAGTATAGTTAGCCTAAAAAACTAGTCAGATGTTTTTATTGCTTGCATTAGCTTGTTAACGAGTGACAAATAGTGTTCTTTACTTTTCTGGAGGTCATTTATGAGGTCATCTTAATTATTCAGAGCACAAGTAAACCAGGGAAGAATATATTGATGATCGTATCTATTTATTGATGGAGCCATCCAATGAAAATTTGAGTATCTGCCCTATTTAGCTCTTAGTGCTTAGGATTCAAAGATGATAAGACCAGCTGGTGCTTTTGTAGAACTCAAATTCTGATGGAAGCTAGGTTGACAATATGTCATAAAAGTAATAGTGCAGCAGAGTTTACCATTGTGGTTTTAATCATAGGGTCTGGAGTCAACCAGATTTGGATAGAAATCCTGCCTCTACTTACTATTCACTATGACCCATGGAAGGCAGATTCTGTGATCTCTTTGAGCCTCAGTTTCTTTGTCTGTACAATGGAGACAATAGTACCCCTCCTCACAGAGTATTGTGAGGACTCAGTAACAAAATGAGTATTTATTGAGTATCTGTTATATACCAGCCATCATTCTGGGCACTGAGGACAAAATAGAACAAGATAGGCAAAGCTCCCTGCCATGATGGAACTTATTGTTTAATGAGATGGCCAGACAACAAACAAATATATGTTAGGTAATGATTAGTGTATGAAAATAAAGTATAGCAGAGGTGACATTTAAGCAGAGGCCATGTGATTGTCTGAAAGAGGGAATTCTAGGCAGAGGGAACACCAAGTGCAGAGACCCTATGTGGGCTTGACCTTCCTATGGATGCAAGTCAGTAGGGCTAGGGCAAGTGAGTGAGGGGGAGAGTGGCGGGAGGTGAAGCTAGAGAGGGGGCTGAGGGCTAGGTCATGTAGGCTCTTTTTTTCAGACAGGGGAAAGGAGGGAGAGAGAGGGAGGGAGACAGAGAAAGGGAGAGAAACATTGATCAGTTGCCTCTCAGATGCCCCTAACTGGGGACCTGGCCTGCAACCCAGGCATGTGGCCTGGTTGAGAACCAGACTGGCAACCCTTCGGTGTACAGGTCAGCGCTCAGTCCACTGAGCCACACCAGCCAGGGCTAGGTCATGTAGGATCTCAAGGACAGTGGGTTTTACTTTGTGTGTCATGTGAAGCCATTTGAAAATTTTGTGGAGAGTAACATGATCTACTGTTTTGAAAGGATCACTTTGGTTGGTGTGCAAAAAACTATTATAGGTTGTGCAGATGGAAGATTGAATACAGGGAAATCAGAATTCTGTTGAAGTAGTTTAGGTGAAAGATGATGGTGGCTTAGATCACAGTGATAAGGAAAAAGTGGTAAAAAGCCTTGTGAACCTAGCACCAGTAAATGTGATCTGGTATTTGTAAAATATGTGTTGAGAGCTTTTAAAATATTTTATTTATTTATTTTTAGAGAGAGGGAAAGGGAGGGAGAAAGAGAGGGAGAGAAACATCGATATGTGAGAGAAATATTGATTGGTTGCCTCTCACACACCCCCAACCTGGAACCTGGAGAAACATTGACTGGTTGGTTCTTAGCAGTCCCCAACCAGCGATCTGGCCAGCAACCTGGCTGGCAACCCAGGTATTTGCCCTGACTGAGAATCAAACCAGAGACCTTTTGGTTCACAGAATAAGGCCCAATCCACTAAGGTACACCAGTCAGGGTGCAAACCACTTTTTAAAGCAATGGAAGTCTATTCAAAGATTTTAAGCCTTATTTCTTGATCAGATTTGTATTTTGGAATGACTTCTGATTAGCCAGGATGAAAACCACAAAAACTGTGCTAAAGTGCATGGATTTTCCTGTTCAGACTTCTGAACAGTTTGTTCTTAGTTTAGATCTAATTCTGATAAGCTTTGTTATCTGTTAAGTTTTATCTTATCTATATGAATTTTGTATTTAGGAAGTTAGAAGGGGGGCATTCCTAGTAAATAACTAAAACTGTCCTTTTTTTATTCCTGGAAGAAACAAGAAAAGATAACTCATAAGGAAAAGGAATTAAAATAGCTGCATTTCACGATCAAGCAGCATCAGTTTATAACCCCATATTTTCATAGTGTTGCTGTGTTCACAAGGACCTACTCTGTGATTTTGGAAGCTCTTCATGATTGCAGTTTATATTGTGAGATGTGTTTGGGGAACCAAAGAAATTATATTCATAAGGTTGTATGGCACTGAGAAAATGAATTTATTTTATGCATGTCTAAATTAAAACAATACTGATTTTTATCAGTGCAAAGATTAAATATAGATTTTAAAAATCACATGAGCTTTTTGTACTTAACTCTTAACTGTGAAAATTTTTAAGCCTCCAGAAAACTTGAAAGAATACTACACTAAGCACCCATGTGTTTCATCTAGCTTTACCAATAGTGAATATTGTCACATTTGCTTTATCTCTTTGAATATATATTTTTAGTTGTTATTGAAACCATTTGCCCTAAATATTTCAGCTGCATTCTGCATTAAGTCCTCTAAATCTTTTAATTACTATTTTGAGTATGCCAGATCTTTAGTTTTAATAGTGATATTTTCCAGTTGAGCAGCACTGTGATAATTATATTTAAATCTAGCATTATCTCTACAGCATGATTTAATACTGGAATTTTTCATTTTATCTTCAGAACAACAGGATATGGATTTGGATATTGAATTTGATGTACACCTTGGAATAGCTCATACCCGTTGGGCAACACATGGCGAGCCCAATCCTGTCAATAGCCATCCCCAGCGCTCTGATAAAAATAATGGTATGGATATGTTGTACACGCTTTGGAATGCTTGTAGAGGGCCAATAATGGGAAAAGAATGGAAGCTCTTATGTTTTCATTATTTTAATCTGGAAAATTTCAAACATATTCATATAAAGAGAGTATACAGAACCTGGTATATTCATTACTCAGGCTCAACATTTATCAATATATGATCAGTTATGTTTATCTATATCCCCCACCCAAATATCTGTTATTTTGGAAGCTAATAGATATCATATAGATGGACATGTCACAGATAGTTAGCTATTGTAGCATTTAATTTGTAAATATTTAAGTGTGTATCTCTAAAAGGTAAGGACTTAATAGATTGATGTGGCCCTAAAGAGACTTCTCCCTTTCTTTTTTCTTTGCAGTTTACTTTGTTGTTTGTCATATAGAGTTTTCTACAGTCTAGATCATGTTGATTGCATGCATCCTATGGATCATTTAATGTGCTTCTGTGTCTGTTCTATTTATTTTAAATTGGTATAGTGTTTATTTACAACTGGAGATACATAATTGTTGAACAATAACCTTTGAGGTTGTAAGTTTTCCTTTTTTTAAAGTTAGAAACTTGGTGGAGTGAGGGGAAATGAGGAGTCTTTTTTTTTTTTTTTAAGATTTTACTTACTGGTTTTTTAGACAGAAGGGAAGGAAGGGAGAAAGAGAAACATCAATGTGTTAGAGAAACGTCAAATGGTTGCCTCTTGCACATATCCCAGTCAGGGACCAGGCCTGCAACCCAGGCATGTGCCCAGACTAGGAATCAAACCACGACCTTCCATTTTGTGAGGGAATGCCCAACCAACTGAGTCATGCTGGCCAGGGCGAGCTTGAAAGTTTTTCTGAAAGAAAGGGTTTATTGAGCCATATGCTAGCCAGAAAAAGGACTAGGCTCTGGGACATACAGTTTAAACCGTCAGCAGCAGGGGTAGTTGGGAAGACAAACATGTCCACCATCCTGGGATTGACTGGCTCTTTCATACAATGAGTTTGGAGAAGAAAGCTGTAAGTTGTTTTGAAGGAATTTACATTTGCTATAGACAAGGGGCGGGATAGGAGTAGGTGAAGTGGGGCTTGTTCTGGGGTAGGTTATTATGTAAAGGAGAAGTCTTTGTTACTTTTATATTGGTTCTGGGCAACAGCCAGGAAAGTTCATGCCTAAGCAGAATGTGATGGTGTCTGGTAGTTAATTGGCTCTTCTCTCTAGATAAGAGATGAAATGGTGGCCTAGAAGGCGATTCAGAGTTTCAACATAAAATAAGGAATGTGAGCAGTCTTTTGTTGATTTCTGCCCCTGTTTCTGTTAATGGATTAACTCTCCCTGCCTCTTCTCACCCTCTGGCCTGCTGTAATTTAATTTAGGACATCTCAGAATTTTTTTTCTTGTTATAATCTTGGATTTTTTTGTGTGTGGTGTTAGTAGTCATTGACAATCATTGCCAAGATTAATTATTTCTTTAGGGGTTTTAAATTGGTAACAGTCTAATACAGTACTTTCATTCCTTCTTCATTTCTCCATATCAACTGCTTGGTTACCCTGACGTACAGAGTATATAGGAAAGGCAGGATTAATGTTTGATTTTTTTCCCTTTTATTTACTGTATTTCAAAAGTGAAGTGGTTCACATGCTCTAAAATGAGCAATGAGTTCCTTTTAAAATTATAAACTCAAAAATGAAGTATTTCATTTGTTTCAAAACACTGAAGTAATTGTAATTGTCTATGTCGAGAGACAAAATTTTTTGGCCATTTGCAGCTTATTCAGGTTGGCTTCTGAGTCCTTTTGAAGTGACCCCAGTAGGCTCAATAGATAGTCTTTGTTATTTTCTGGTAGACCAAGATGTTCCACACTCCTCTATTCCTGCCCCATACCTGGAATCAACCATTTCTCTAAGGAGCCCTAGTTCCTTTTGGTAGAAATGATACTTAAAAGACTATAAGCCAAGTCCTAGAAGTGTTCATCACACTTAGACCTTTTCAGAGGGCAGAGCTAGGGGATATATGTATCTCTGTGTGTGCACTTGCACTTGTATTAATTTAAAGATAAAACAGCATAATTTTATACTAACACTTCTAATTCATATTCAGGGCTGTAGGATTTTTTCTTTACTTCATTAATCTCTGTATTTTCTTTCATTCACACCTAAAATGTAGTTCTTTATATCAGTAACATACTTATCTGTTACATGATATACATAAAATAGAATCATAATACCCACACTGCCATAGACAGTGTTTACTGTTTGTTAATTTTTTTGTCCTTAGGGTATATCTCGTTAGGGATATATAATCAAATTACTGTGTTTTAGAATCACTTAGAATAATCCTTCTGTATGTGGTTGTGCTACCAACTGATATAGCACTTTGAAAATATGTTTTATTTTATTTTGAATTTTAGGAATTTATTTTCTTTAAGAATCAGTTTATTTAAAAAGCAAATATTTGCATAGTTCTGAAGTCACACCTATACAAAAGGCACGTTAAAATAAATCTAGTTTCTGTCTTTTCTTATTCCGTCTTCTCTAGAGATAACCATTTAGCATTTTTTAAGAGTCTATTCTTTTGTTTTTAAAAATAAGCAAATACATATAAAAGTGTATGTATGTATATGTATGTGTGTGTATATACCATTTGAGATAAGATTTTATAATTTAATTCAGAAATATTATTGAATTGGATTAATGCCGACAACCTCTCAAACATTTAATTCTGACAAGGCCTTTAAAAAGATTCCTAAAAACATATCTAAATTATATTTTGTGAATTTGGCTTTAATTAAGGCTTTATGCCAGCTATCAGCTGTTTAAGATTCTCTGAGTTCTAGCATTAAAAAACTTTTTTTAGGGTTTGTTTTTTTTTTTGGTAGTAGTATTTTGTGGGTATCATCTTTTCTTTCTTAAAAATCTAGTGAAAATGCTTATTTTATTATTTGGTTTATAATGTATTCAGTCCAAGCTCATTTAGCATTATTAGGTCAAAATGTTAGCTTGTCAAGTATTTTTAAAACATTTTTATAATTTAATATAAAATTGAATTTAGGGGTAATTTCTCTCCTGACTTACATAAACTTTAAATAATAAATTCCTAACAGTAGTCTTTGTGTACACTTTCAGCAACTACAAATAATGTCTACTCTTAATTATCCATTCATACATTTTCCCAAGTTATTTAATAAAAAAAAGATGAAAATTATCCTATTATCATATGTATTTGATCTTGGAATTCTGTTTTAACATTTATCATTCTAGAAGTTATCTGGACCTCAGAAAAATAAATATAATCATAGAATTGAATAATGTCTGGTTTTCTTTTTAACTTCTTTAACTTTGGATCTTAAACTCGGTCAGTGTAAGTCAGATAACTGTATTAATTTGGAAGACTTCTCTCACATTAGGAATGTTTTATGCATGAGAATGAATGAACAAAGAAGTGAGAATAATAGTTATTTAGTTCAGCCCTCATCCTTGCAAATGAGGACGTAAACCCAGAGAACTTGCTTCTTTCACATGGTGATATTGGGGGTTAGCAGTTTAGCCACGACTGAAATTGATGACTCCAGACTTCAGTTTACTGTATTTCCCCACACTGTGTGCTTCCATTAAGTCACATAAACTGTGCTGCTGGTCTGCCTGAGGATAATCTGGTCATGAAAAGTAGAAAATAGTTGATTATGTCTTGAAGTATAGCGTATGACACATTTTTTAACTTGAGAAAAATCTACTAACAGTAATGGCTATTTATAATGTTTCCTAGACCTATAATTTTTGGTTATATCTTTATCTCTTTTAGAATTTATTGTTATTCACAATGGAATCATCACCAACTACAAAGACTTGAAAAAGTTTTTGGTAAGTAAGGTGACCTAAAAAAGACACCAGTCTTTGATGATACTACCAATGAGAGCAGTGAGGTTGGTTGTTAAGATGTGCAGTAAGTACTATCTAGGTGTGATCAAGTAATTCCTAAGACAGTTATAAGCATATGGTTGTTTATTGGACTTTTCTTTGTTGACAGTGGAACATTTTTGTTTCTTATATTAAAAGGAAATAATTATTTGGCTTTGTTATAAATTACCCAGAAGCTCAAGTAAAATTGGAGTTTTGGGGGTATGTTTTTTGCATTGTGAGAGACCTTGTTTGTCATTCTTAAAAGATTCTAGGATATGTCAGAAGACTCAGGACAGATTAAATGAAGGTTCTGTGCTCAACAGAGCTATGTACTCAGTAGTAAGGATCATGATGATGACCTTCATTGTGCTTTCTCAGGTCTGTCCGATTGAACTTTCTGTAGTGATGGAAACTTCATATCTGTACAGTCCAGTATATCAGCAACTGTCCACATATGGCTATTGAGATAGTAGGACTGAGGAACTAAATTTGAAATTATTTCACTTTAATCAGTTTAAATAGCCAGATATATCTAATAGCTATTGCATTGGATAGTAAAATATCATTGTTAAATAAAGAATTATAGCATACCTTGGTACTTGTTAATTCATTTCGGAGCTCATGACGAGTGCCGATCAAGCATTCCCTCTTATGGGGCAGCGTCGTGACTCACACAAGTTCTAGTAAGTGTGTCCAGTTCCGAGCAAGTGCTAAGTGCTGAAACATTTTTTTCTCGTCAAAATGTGACAAGTACCGGGTTTGACGAGTTCTGAAGCTGATGAGTACTGAGGTATGACTGTATTTTCATTATGGAATTAGTGTTTCGTATTATCTATTTCATTGTATTTTAATTATTTAAAAGTAATTCGTGGCATATATATTTATGTAATTTTAAGTGTATGTTCAGTATTATATGTTCAGTTATACAGAATGACTATTTTGGATTCACTAAAGTTAGATGGTGACCTTAATTTTCAACAATGGGTAGTGGAATATGGTGGTCAAAAAAAGATTAGAAATTGGTTAGTGAGATACTGGGGGGGAAATTCTGTAGAAAAGATTTGGATATGGTGAATACTTTCTTAAATGTGTCATTTTTTTCTTTCTAATTACAGGAAAGCAAAGGCTATGACTTTGAATCTGAAACAGACACAGAGACAATTGCCAAACTTGTTAAGTACATGTATGACAATCGGGAAAGTCAGGATACCAGTTTTACTACCTTGGTGGAGAGAGTTATCCAACAATTGGTATTAAACCACACTTTTAAAAAAAATTTATTTTTCAGTTACAATTTACACTCAATATTTTGATTTAGTTTCAGGTGTATAGCATAGTGGTTAGACAAACATATACTTTACAAAGTGTTCCCCCCAGTATTTTCAGTCCTCACCTGGCACCATTACATAGTTATTACAATATTATTGACTCTATTCCCTCCCTGTGCTGTACTGTACATCTCTGGGACTATTTTGTAACTACCAATTTGTACTTAATCTCTTCAACTCTTTCACCTAGTCACCAACCTTCCTCCCCTCTGGCAACCGTCACCCTTTAAATCACACTTCTAAAAATAATTTTGTCCAACATTAATTATAATAAACCCTTATAATCAAGTTTGAGGAGCAGGAACTATGCTAATTTAAAAATATTTTTGGCCTTTATTTCCTATACATGTAACTTTTCAACTTGAGTAATTTTGAGAGATTGTTGTTTGACCGATGACCCCTCCTTTCCCACATACACACTTAAAAATCTTCTTTCCCTGTAGCTTAGTGTCATGGGAATTAAAAGTAATCTAAAATCAAACAGTTCGTCCAATAACCATGCATGCACACACACAGACCCACACATACCACACAAAACATGCATGCAATACACACAGTTGGGGATTCATCATTTTCTTACTTCCTGCTCACTCCATTGTTCTTTCCAGTCAATAACTTAGCAAGATTAGCTTTTAGGATAATGTCTGTATGTCTCTGAGCCATTAAAGTTCACTCATTTTTTCTTATGGGGACTTTTACTTGGCTCTGTTCCTCTGTAGAAAAGTATTTCCCACCCCAAGAGAAAAGTGGTATTCTTTTTGATCCCATCCCAGTTGCCCTAATTAAAGATTAAAGATCCACAAATGTCCAAATGCATAGTGATTTCCATGCCCCTCCCCCACTCAGTACTCCATTTTTCCCATTTAAAAGCCCTTTACTTCTCTATGAAGGTCCAACCTTCAATTCCCACCACCACCCAATCATACGATGTCTTAAAAGAAGAGACAGGAAGATGGAGAAAATAGAGGCCCGTTCCCTCCCTTTACTCAAGGCAGGGTAGTGTGCCTTTCCAGCCTTTTCTTGTTTCTACTCATTGTATAACCCAGTTGGTGTTCTGTGGTGCTTCCTTCCCTCTCCTACCTCATGATCTTTCTTTATTCACTCTTAATTTCTTCAGGCCCTTTCCCTGAGGAGGTTGAGTACAGGGGATGGTATGGTGTACATGTTAATAATTGTGATTGTATGTATTTATCTCCAATATCAAGATTTCAAAGAGTGTAAGTTAACAGTGGAGTCAAATTACTGGGCCAGAGAATGGGTTTTGGATGTTGAACTTAGGACCTTTCCTAGTTCTTCCCTCCCTTTACTAATGTATAATATGGGAGATAGGATGTGTTTATTGAGAAATGTTGGTAGTATGTACAAAAGTGACTTTTAAAATGGTCTCTTGTAGGTGTTGAGCCTATTTCAAGACTAGGCTTCATAAAAAAATAGGTCTTGGATGCACTGAAGCTCATGGGGAAGTGTCTTCCTAAAATTAAAATTTAAAAAAGAATTGATTTGAGAGAGAGAGAAAGAAACACTGATTTGTTGTTCTACTCATTTATGCATTCATTGGTTGACTTTTGTATGTGCCCTAACTGGGGATTGAACCTGCAGCCTTGGTGTACTGGGGTAATGCTCTAACTCACTGAGTTACCTGGCCAGAGCCTAATGTTTTGACTAGTTTATAAACTAGTACAGAAGAGTGGTGTAAAAAAAAAAAAAAAAAAAAAAATCGTTTCTGTGATAAAGCCAGTATGTTTTAGACATTTCACATTTGATAATTGATTATCATATGTATTGCTAATCCATTTCTTTTCCCTTCATAGGAAGGTGCTTTTGCACTTGTATTTAAAAGTGTTCATTTCCCTGGCCAAGCAGTTGGCACAAGGTATATATAAATTTAATAATGCCTAATAATTATATGTATTTTGAAACTTCTCAATTGTAAGTTTACTTTCTGTACAGTATCAATGACCCTTCACTATTATAAAGGCCTCTGTAGCAATTACACTGCTCTTGTAGTGTGAAAGCCACCATAGAAAATATGTAAAAGAATAGGCATGGCTCTGTTCCAACAAAAATAGACAAACCTGCCACGTGGGTCATAGTTTGCCTACCTCTGTTATTGGATATTTTTTTAAAGTTCTATTTATATTGTTCTTTTGTTAGAGCTGAAGTTGAGCTTGGAGGGAGAATTGAGAATTTATTTGAAGAGTATTCTGTCATCACATTTAAATTTTACATCATTAATGTGTTATTTATAAAATGGTTTAATTCTGTTTAATTTTGTACTAACAGACGAGGTAGCCCTCTGTTGATTGGTGTACGAAGTGAACATAAACTCTCTACTGATCACATTCCAATACTTTATAGAACAGGTAAAAACTATTCCTGCATCATGCTGTGTGGAAAATGTAGAAATTGAATGCAGTAGATACAAAGAATTGTTTTCCTTAAATTGAAATAAATGCCTCTTTGATCAGGTCCACTCATATATAATTCTGTCTAGACATGAAAAGGATTTATTTTGTGATTTCTCTGACAAGTAGAATTTTTTTTCTGTTGTATATCCATAGCTAGGACTCATATTGGATCAAAATTCACACGGTGGGGATCACAGGGAGAAAGAGGTGGGAAATGCACTCTGCATGGATGGGGAGGAATCTTATCCTCTTTTGTTCATTCTTTACTAATTCTTTGTTCTTGGAGTGAATGAATGTGCTGGGCCTCTAAAATTCTGCTTATTTTATGGGGAAATATATTTTGACATTTTTCTAATTTGCAGAGTATATTTTGTCTGTCTGCTTTTGGCATTTAGAAAACTGCTTTTAGTAATTTATAGTCTCTGAGATTTGAAAACTAGTTTTTTTTCTTTGTTTTAAATTAAAATCATGTAGGAGACATAATTGTAAATAAGATGCTAGGATGAAGACATTGTTTGCTAGCCTATTATAGATTGGATTCAGTGGTAGTTTAAATAATTCAGCCTAATTTTTAACTGACGGTTGGTTTTAATGGTTTTTATTTTATGCATGACATTTTACTTTTTAGATGTACATTCATTATGTTTATTGGCTTTGTTTGGGTTTGGAATTATTGTTCTTTTTTAAATTTATGTTTGAATTTTTAATAGGACTTTTAGCTATACAAACTGGATCATTTCATTGATATAATTAGACAAAAAAAATGTGCTCTTTCCATTTACTTATTACTAAAAGTAAATTAAGGAAAGTGGAACCCGTATTATTAATATATAATTCTTTGTTTCTTGAAAAATATTTAGCAAGATACTCTAAACCTATTCATCTTTGGATAGTGACTGCTTTCACTATTTTATCTGTATCAGAAACTTATTTCCTTAAATAACCTTCAGTTCTAAGATAGTGCAATTTCTTATCTTCCTCATCCCCCTCCCTCTCTTTTCAGAAGAAAAACTAGTCTGCAAGTGAGAGTACAGATTTCAGATCCAGAGTTTCAGATTTCTGTTAATAATTATGCTGTGTACACATTACTTTGTATGTTACCTTGTGCATTGTTTTATGCTGCTTTTAGAAACAATAGAAAAACATCGACTAAGGTCTTAAGAAGTTGGAGGAAAAATTTATCACTAGACAGGTCTTTCTGAGGTTAGGGTTTGTGTTTCAGTAACCCTTATCTCTCTAGCTCCTAGTAGGTATATAGTGTGTAGCTCAACAGAGTTTAGTTTAAGAAGAGGCTGTGTAAAGGGGAGAACCCTGAACTGGCTTTTAGGCTTTACTGTCTTCTCCAGGTGACCAAATAAAGTGGAACAATAATAATTGTATTCCACTTAAATCAGATGAGATAATAGACATTTTATAGCTTGTATGAGTTATATAGATGCCAAGTAATACTGTTCATTTAAATTGGCAATGATACCTCAGCTTCTTCTAAAAACTGTAGTTAAATATACCTTGTTGCTTGAAGAGTGAAATAACCAATATTTGCAGAAAAATATAGTGAAACTCAACCCCATTAGTGCACTTTATTACTAAAGATGGTTGTGTTTATTTTAAAAATGTAGATGGTGGGCTATCTTTTTATTTACTTTTCATTCACTTTTTTACATACAATAAAGTTCACAAATAAAATTTCCTGAGTTTTGTCAAATGCAAACAGTTGTGTAACCACTATTGCAATTAAGATACAGAAAAATTCCATCCCCTAAAAACTGCCTTCCAGCTGTTCTTTGTAGTCAGCTCGTGCCCTATTCCCAGCCCCTCGCAATCACTAATCTGTTCTTTCTAAAGTGTTATCTTTTCTAGGATGTTACCTAATATTAATTTTTTTAAATGTGGTATCTTTCCTGCTGTTGAATTTGGATAGGAAGAGCTATTTTGTTTTCATGACTAAACCAAACCAAATAACCATGTGTTGTCAAGAACTTTGTATGTATGGTTCTAAGAATAATTATTTCCAAGTCTTTACAGTCATACATTTTAGAGGATTAACACAATATAAGTTTTCACAAGTATATTTATGATATTCTCTGGCCATTGAGTTCATAGGTTATAAGTTCTACTATGTCCTGATCTTGGAGAAAGGTGCTCTTTTGCCTCTATGACACTTAGAATAAGGTCATCAATTAATAGAGCTTAAAAATAATTTGGCTTATTTGTCAAATTGCAGTACGCATTCCAGTTTTTTTTTATAATTTGCTTTCCAGTTTTGACTCTAATTGTGAATGAACAAAAAGGAAGAAAATATCATCAGTGACTTGATGAATTAAATAGAAATGCCAAAATTCTAAGTGGTGGCATTAAGAAGATATTATTGCAAGGGGACCATACTTTATATCAGCTTTAAGAAAGAAGAGATCCTGGGTTTATATTATATTTTCATTCCTTAGTAGCAGATGCAACATATGATATAACATGGTAGAGAGTTTAAGTGTCTTTGTTTTGTTTTTAAATTATAATTAGTGACTTAGGGTGGTGAACACATAAAACAGTGTACAGATGTTGTGTTGCACAATTGTACACCTGAAACTTGTATAATTTTGTTAATGAGTTTCATCCCAATAAATTGAATAAAAAGGAAAAAATTAGTGAAGACTATATCCTGATACGTTATGCTGATTTATTATTAAAATCTAGAGAAATTTTGTTATGAGATGATAAAAATTACTATGCCACTAATCTTCATTTTATTTTTTTATTATACAATTTTGATATTTTAAATGTAATTTTATGATGAGTTTAGGTATACAAACTATATATATTAATTGCATTAAGATTATATATACATTTTATTAAAAAACAGTGGTATGAATGAATTATTTTCTATAGCACTATTATCTGCCACGCTCTTTTTGATAGTTGCTGTTTCACTCTACACTTTTTTGTCTGTTCTTGTTGGCTTATTGCATGGAAATTAGGTGATCTACCTTTTTTTTTGCATTTAAAAGTTGCTGAAATTATTTTGTGTTGCTATGGTTTTTTTTTTTAATTTTGTAGAAAATTACATATATTTATACATTGGCCACAGTTTTCTACATGTTTGCTGACTCTGTAAAACTCTGTGCTCTAGGTAAAGACAAGAAAGGAAGCTGCAATCTCTCTCGTGTGGACAGCACAACCTGCCTTTTCCCTGTTGAAGAAAAAGCGGTGGAATATTACTTTGCTTCTGATGCAAGGTGAGCTTTCTTAGCTGATTCAAAGAGAATTTTTAGTAAAACTTGTCAGGCTATAGGAAGTCATTTTGTATAAATCTGGTCATACTGTATAGGAGAACTTTGTTCATTAAGGGAGTGAAGGTGATCTTTTTCTGGAGATGGGATTCTAAAAACACCTTTTCTGTCAATTCAAAGCACATAGGCCAGTTTACAAAGAACAGATAACAGTCCTTCAGACTTGTTACAGTGTATTTACTCTGAGCTCTTGTATTTTTTTTCCCTCTCCTTCTAGGAGCCTTATCCATGTTTTAAAGGGAGGAGAGATTTCAGTTTGGAGATTTGAATTGTTTAATATCCCACCAGTTATAGTATAGTTGCTAAATCATTGTACTTTTCAAATAATGTAGACACTTATCTTTTCAATTCAGAAGTAATTGGCAGCATAATCACTTTTATAAAAGGAAATAGTACTAGACTAAGAGGTTTTTAGAGAAAATGCAGTGGGATGCGTTCATGAATTTATAAATGAAACACTAATAATGGGGATAAAATGGAATCATTCAAATTGCTAACAAGTATTTGAGTCATTCAGTGTGCCTGAAAATAAGGGGATCTAAAAGTGAAAAATGATGCAGTTTAGGACTGCAGGGAATGTATTATCTCAGTGGGAAAAGAAGCTTTAGTGTATTCTAATTTTTACAGGTGTGCAGTTATTGCTAATATGTGTCATTGCTCTTATTAAGTAGGTTTGTTACAGAGTTGACAGTTAACGGCTTAAATTAGAAATTGCAGAAAAAGCTCAGCCTTTTTTAATTCACTCATACATTTTCATATTGAACACTAGCAAAGCATGTGCTGGGCTTAGGAGATAACAGTGAGTAAAAAAAATTTCATGTCATTAAAGAGATCTTTCTTAATGGAGGAGACAAATTTTAATCAATATTCACACAGGTGTAGAATTTTAGCTGTGAAGAGCTACAGAGTGCTTATTACAGCATGACTTACCCTCCTATGGGTAAATTTCTTTAAGGGAATGATGCTTGAAATGAGAGTTTAGGAGATATTGGGAGTTAATTAGGTGAAGAGGCAGAGGAAAGAACATTAATTCTCTGCAGATTGATCTGCCAATGCAAGTTTGGGATGGGTGGGAATGTGACCGGAATACAGAGAGGAGGTTTGGTGAGAGATGAGGCTAGAGGGGGAGGTAGGGGGTCATGGTTATGTGTTTGGTTGTTTCCCTAAGAGACAAAGGGAAGCCTTCATCTGGGTTGCTGGGTGAGGAGAAGTCCCAATTAGAGTTGCTTTTGATGGCCTCTTTGGCAGAAATGGGGAATGGATCGAAGGAGATTAGAGGGAATGTGGGTGGACAAGTTAGGAGGTTTATGTGGTAGTTTAGCAAAAAGCTGATGACAGCTTGAATTGGTTTGGGAGTGTGGACACAGAAGCTTTGAGAAATATTTAGAAGTTAAAATTGGAGTACTTGGTGATAGAATGAGGAAGAAACAAACACGCTTTCTTTCCGATCTAATCTTACTCGGTTTAGTTGCTGCATAGAGATCCTTTTGTTTGTTGCCCACAGTGACCACCCTTCACACTTACTCTCCAGCTGGGAATGGCATTGATAACCAGAAAATTACCAGAGATACTGTAGAAGATAGAGTTTGTATTTAAATTTGGTTCTTGTGTCCTAATGATGGTGGTATTTGTAATAATCATCCTTGACTATTGATTGTAATATTTCCTTGAATATTTTATAGTGCTGTCATAGAACACACCAATCGTGTCATCTTTCTTGAAGATGATGATGTGGCAGCAGTGGTGGATGGCCGTCTTTCTATCCATCGAATTAAACGAACTGCAGGCGATCACCCTGGAAGAGCTGTGCAAACCCTCCAGATGGAACTCCAGCAGATCATGAAGGGTGAAAGTTTTGGTTATGTTATAGCTGGGGGTCCTTAACGGAAAGGGTCCATTCTTCTTCTGTCTTAGTGCAGGAATCTGATAACAGTGCTGGGTGAAATCTTCCACATGCTTAGTGAAGGCATCACCTCAGGGAAAGGGATGATTCTTTGAAGAAATTATCTGCTAGTTTTACCATAGTTCTTCAAATTAGTTCATGGTTTTTTTCTAACATTAAAAAGAGATTCACATTTAAATAGTACTTGAGCTTTTAAGATACTTTATAAACATAGTTTGTGTTCTGTTCTTTGTTTCTCTCTTATTCTCTCTGTGCTTTGTTTTTCTCATATACGAAATGGGGATAATAGGATCTACCTCATTAAGGTTTCTTGCGAATTAAGTGAGCTAGTATATGTAAAGCCCTTAGAAGAGTGCCTGACACACTTGATGAGCTCTATGCAATGTTCACTGCTCTTGTCTGTTGCAGTTATTGTAATTATGGTTTTCATCCTCTTTTCTGGTGGAGTTGTGGGAATAAAAACCAACACTTACTATGTAATTGCTATATGTCGAGTTACAGTGGGAATAAAAACTAACACTTATTATGTAACTGCTATATGTCAGGTCTTTACTCATCCACAACATAATGTGATGAGGTAGCTGCTCTTACTATTTTACAGATTAAGGTACTTCCCCAGAGCCACTTAGCTAATAAGGATCGAACCTTGATTTGAACCTAGATCTGAATCCAAAATTTGAGCTTGTCTCACTCCACTGTTTTTCTGTAACTGTATTTTATTTGATTTTTCCTTTTTAACTCATTTTTCTTCACATAGGGTAAAATGTCATATATGAACATTGACCTCTATTGCATGACCTCATATTTCATTCCATTTACTTAGATTACCTTAGAGGAGACTTACAACTTTGTACAAATTTGTTATTCTTGGTTTGTTAATTTTTGTTTTAATGATATACTTTATATTCCTTTAGGCAACTTCAGTTCATTTATGCAGAAGGAAATTTTTGAGCAGCCAGAGTCAGTTGTGAACACAATGAGAGGAAGAGTCAACTTTGATGACTATACTGGTAATTACATATGAATTGTTTTATTATTTCAAAGTCTCCTGTGGGTGTTGGCATGGACGGCCTGGAAGTTCATTGTCCCTGATAGCCTTATAGAACATACGGCTGCCAGTCATCTTTTAAAAATCCTTCAGTGTATTATTCCACTGATACGAGGGGTATCTAAAATAGTGATATTCATAGAGACAGAAGTAGAGCAGTGGTTACCAGGTGCTAGGGAGAGGGGAGGAATGGGGAGTACAGAGTTTCAGCCTGGGATAGCAAAAAAGTTCCAGAGGTGGATGGTGGTGATGGTTGCACAACTCTGAATATACTAAAAACCACTGATTGTATACTTTGAAAGGGTGAATTTTATGGCATGTCACATATTTCAATAATATGGTTATAAAAATATTTAAAAATGGCTAGAAAATCACATTTGAAAATTATCAGTTATGGGGGTATTAGAGTGATTTTCCTGGGGCTGAAAACTATTAAAAACATTGACTTTCTTTTTAATTCAACAAACCTTTGTTGGGTATCTGCTCTATACTAAGGACAGTCTTGGGCACAGAGAATTCTAAGAATGAGACTGGTCCCCTTGCTGGCACACTTATGTGTATCTTCGTAGCCTGGGTTTTCTCTCTCAGTTTATAATGAGTAAAGGTCCAGACTTCCCCTGAGATTTTTCCAGGTGTTTGTCTGATGCCTTATGGGGTAATCTGTCCTTTCTTGCCTTTTTCAAATAGAGGTGAAAGTGCAGCCCTGCTCTGATTTCTGGAAATTCTCTCTTGATCTTGTGTTGCAGGACTTTGTGCACCTTGCTGAGATGAGTTTAAGAGCCACAGTCTGTGGTCATAAGATGTCCATAAACTGTTTATTGCTAAGTTAGGTTTTTGGAACACTACTTACTCATCATGACGCATTTAATAAAACAGTTTAACAAACAAGCTTTGGATTAAGCGTCTCAATATTAGGAAATCAGTTTTTGAGAAATGAGAGCAGGCATGCAAAGATCTTTTTTCTGAATCTGTGTGTCATAAGTACAATGATAAGTGTTTCCTTCATATCAAGTCCTGTTAATTGATAGGGAATGGTTTCTCTGAATAAATGCTGTCTTTATATCTTTTTCTTTTCTGAGCAGCATCAGATTCTTTCTTAGCGGAAGAGATTTGTTGAAGGCTGAATTGTGAATTGAACATCTGTGTGAAGAGCACCATGCTAAACATATTAGGGACTAAAGAGAGTTATCTTTGATACAGTCTTCTCCATGAGGTTCTTATAATCCAGAAAGGGGATGACTATATAATTAATTACTTAAAGAAAGGTAAAATGTAATAAATGGTATTGAAACAGTTTAATGTTGAAATATTTAAAGATTAATGTTGAATTTAGAGAAAGTAGAGAATGAATCTGTAGGCAGGGGCTTTGGGGCCAGAAAGGCTTTGTGAAGTAGGCAGGTATGGGTTTGAGAGATTGGGAAAATTTAAATAGGTTAAGAAGAGATGGAGCCACTGAAATTGGATAGAACAGTGTTAGCTAAGGGGATATAGTGGAAACCATCAGAAAGCTCTTTGTGGAATAATATGTAGCCTAGGTTGTCTGTGCCATCTAGTATTTGAGGAGGAGTAAAGAACAGTAAATGAGTCTGGGAAAGAAGGTGAGAGGACCTGCCAAGGAGGGCCTGAAATGCATTCCAACATGGTTTGTGGGGTACCTCCTTTTGTAGAAATTGCAGAGCTTTAAGGAGACTTAGGAGAGATGTAGGAGTTGCCTGGGGTGATCATAGCTTTATTGAGGGGAACTGGGTACCAGCCTCCAGGGTGAATTGGAGGATCAAGTGGCTGAAATGCAGTTGCCAGTTAGGATGTTATCCTACCTGAGGTGAAGTGATGGGGAAGGAGAGGGGGAGGCAAGTAGGGACCAGGAGAGAAGCAGGAGCAGTCAAAACCAGGTCCTACATCTGTCTGTGTGGGGAGAGAGGGTTGTTTAAGATGGTTGAGCTGGAAGAAATGGGAGAGTATTTATGGTCTTTATGGAAATAGGATTAAGAAAAAGATTTGTGCCCTGGCTGGTGTGGCTCAGTGGATTGAGTGCCGGACTGCAAAGCAAAGGGTTGCTGGTTCAATTCCCAATCAGGGCACATGCCTGGGTTGCAGGCCAGGTCCCCAGTAGGGGGCACATGAGAAGGAGCCACACACTGATGTTTTTCTCCCTCTTCCTCCCTTCTCCTCTCTCTAAAAATAAATAAATCAAATATTTAAACATAAAAGAAAAAGATTTGTTCTGTAAGGGAAGAGAATGAGAAAATTTTGAGAAATCATGATTTTAAGAAGTACTTTTATAATGGCATGTGTTTTTCATAAAAATTCTGTAATGTAAACAGGAGAGCTGTTATCTTTTTTTTGTTAAGATAAGGAAATAGAGGCTCTGCCAATTTGGGTGCCTTGCCAAAGATCGTATCATGAGTCATTTAGGGAGCCAGACTAGCCTCCGGTGTTCAGTAGTGTTCCCGAGTATGCTCCATCTCCGCCCCTGTCCTCTAGGCACTCTTGTTGCTTCCAGTAGGTGGGGCCTACCTTACCACAATTAGGCTTCTCTCCGAAGCATTATCAATTTTGACCTTTGGTGACTGCTTTAGAACTACCTCAAACACTCCTCAGCCACAGGGAATTTGGGGAAACACTTGTGACAAGTTAATCTCACTGCCTTACCTCCCTGTCATTCTTGGTCATCATCTGCTGTCTGCTTTTATACGGTGTCATCTTCAAACGGATTTGTCTTTGCACAACCTTGGCCCAACCTCTTACTGTTACTCCCTTTTTTCCCAAACCTTTTTAATGTTGGAAGGTCTGTGGAAGAACTCTGTAGGCAGAAGTACACAGACAGGCTTGGTTTAGTGCAGGACCAGCCAGAAAGCCAGCTTGGCTGGGGTAGCTTGGGTGAGAGGGCAAGTGCTGCAAAATTAGGTCAGAGTTAAGCAGGGCATGTGGAAATTTGAAGGCCAGAATAATGGGTTGGATAGTGTTGTAAGCTGTTTGGGAAGCCAGGGAAGCGTTTTGTTACCGTTTTATATTCCACTTTATTAATTTTTTAAAATAAATAATATATATAAAAGGAAGAACATAAAATTACTGAAAAGTATAAAAAGCAAAAACATATACTCTGGTAGAAAAAAGGGTGGGGAGATGAAGAACAGGGACAAACTAGGCAAGACCGTTGGTGGGTCAGATGCAGGAAGGAGTTCCAAACTGTCTTGAGTAGAGAGGTCGGGTAGCTATATAGTGCGTTGGACAGTATATTCACATGGTGGGTGCTCAATAAATATTAGTTCAATAATTGAATGAATTTTGAATGAAAATTTCTCACAGGTAGAAAAAACTAGCCTGTGTAGAAGGGTCCATAGACAAGGTACCCTTAGAAGAAAAGTACAGAGCTATAGAGACAGAAGGAGGAGGACAGACTCATCAAGAGGGTTTGGAGATCTGATTTATGTGTTTGAAGAATCACTCTAAAAGATCATTTTGGCTGTGTGTGGAGATCAGGGTGTAGGAGGTGGAAAACAGAAGAGAGAATAGTCAGAATGTCTTATCCAGAGGAAAGATGTTGGACTACAGTGATGGTATTAGAGGTACTATTTGAAAGTAGAGCTCCCAGGACTTGCTCGTGGAGTGGATGTGGAGGAAGGTTAGGAGCAACAAGGATGACTCTCATGTTGGGCGAATGAGATGGGAGAGACAGAGAGGAGAGTGGGTTTATATGGTGTTCAGAGCACTGTTTTGGGTACAACAGGAGATATGAACATAACTAAGACAATTTTTTTCCCTAAGCAGGCTTATTGAGATATAATTAGATATAATAAAATTTACTGTTCTTAATGTTTAATCCAGTGATTTTCAACGAACTTCTACAGTATGGTCTTAATGCCATATGCCTTTGTTGTCAGCCCCTTCCCACTTCCAGACATCAGCATCTACTACCTGTTGTCTGTATCCCTATAGCTTTGCCTGTAAGATAACTTTTATTCTAAAGAAAGGAATGTAAAAATGACTAAACAAGTTAAAGAATGATAAATCGTATAATTGTGTGGCCATGTGGGAGGGGGTGGGTAAGGTTAGTTACAAGTCTGGGGAGACTAGTTAAGTTGTATCTTATTTATTTTTCAACACTATAGAGAACTAGGAAAAAAAGAAAACAAACTATAGCTGCCTATGCTCCTAAGAGGAATGTGAATTCTTTAAAAATCTTTTGCTTCTCAGATTGGTAATGGGCACTTACAAAAAGTGATTGCTTATTTCATATGGTTCTTTTCTAATAATTATATATATGAACTTTCATTTCAGTGAACTTGGGCGGTTTGAAGGATCACATTAAGGAAATCCAGAGGTGCCGGCGTCTGATTCTTATTGCTTGTGGAACAAGTTATCATGCTGGTGTAGCAGTAAGTGACTTCTTAAAATCTTAATTGTGTTATGTTGGGTATGAGACAGCATCTGCAGATAAGTAGTACCTCCAGTAACATACCATGTAAAACTATCTTTTGTTAAAACATCATGTTATCTTTTCATGTTGCATGACAAAACTTAAGAAGGTTGGGGAGAGAAATTTTAATAGATACTTTGAATTATTTATTAATGGAAGATCTGCTTTAGAGAGCTCCTGGCCAAGATGGAGGCATAGGTAGATATTTTTCACTTCCTTGCACAACCAAAAGAAGTATAACAACCAATTTAAAAAGAAAAAAACAACCAGAACTGCCAGAAAATCGAACTGTATGGAAGTCCAACAACCAAGAAGTTAAAGAAGAAACATTCATCCAGATGGGTAGGAGGAACAGAGACCAGCAGCTGGGGCAAAGAAGATGTGCAGCAAGGTTGCAGCTGGCGGACAGGGAGGTCAATAAATAAATAAAATTAAAAAAAAATTAGGGTGGTGGTAAGAATAGTATAGGAAGTGGGACCTCATCAAAATAAGAAGCTTCTGAATGGCTAAAGAAAACATCAGCAGAATGAAAAGGGAGCCACCCTAATAGGAAAATATATTGGCCAATGATATATCAGATAGAGGTTTGATCTCCAAAATATATAAAGAACTCACATCACTCCACTCCAAGAAGACAAAACAATCCAATTAAAAAATGGGCAAAGGACCTGAACAAACACTTCTCCATGGAAGAGATACAGAAGGCCCAGAGACACATGAAAGAATGCTCAACATCACTAGCCATCAGGGAAATGCAAATTAAAACCACAATGAGATACCACTTAACACTGGTCAGAATGGCCATCATAAACAGATCAACAAACAACAGGTGCTGGTGAGGCTGGAGAAAAGGGAACCCTAGGACACTGTTGGTGGGAATGCAGACTGGCGCAGCCACTGTGGAAAACAGTTTGGGATTTCCTCAAAAAGCTAAAAATGGAAACTGCCTTTTGACCCAGCAGTTCCACTGCTGGGATTGTACCCTAAGAATCCCAAAACACCAAATCAAAAGAACCTATGCACCCCAATATTCATAGCAGCACAGCTTACAGTAGCCAAGTGTTGGAAGCAACCTAAATGCCCATCAGTAGATGAGTGGATCAAAAAACTATGGGACATTTACATAATGGGATACTACACAGCAGAAAGAAAAGAAGAACTACTACTCTTCGCGACAGCATGGATGGAACTGGAGAGCCAGGGGGTGAAAGACAAATACCGTATGATCTTACCTATAAGTGGAACCTAACCAACAAAACAAACAAACAAGGAAAATATAACCAGCAACATTAAAAGAAAAAAGAAACCAGAGTCAAGAGGGAAGGGGGGGCGGCGGGGAAAGGGAAGGGAAGGGTCAAGTCAAGAAACATGTATAAAGGACCCATGGACAAAACCAAAGTGGGGAAGGATTGAGGGAGGGAGGCAGGGGAGGGGGTCAGGGGAAAGTGGTGGTGGGAAGGTGGGGACAAATGTATTTGAACAAAAAGTAAAAATTAAGAGGAAAAAAAAAGAATGGGAAAAACAGTAGTTAGGAATAAATCACTAATATGATTATGTCTATCTCAAAATTCAAATATCAATATATAATTATATAAGATTTAATGTGACAGAACAATGATTAAAATAATTATTTATGACAGAAAAAAAAAAGAATAGGAAATGGAGAAGCCGAAGAACTTGTATGCATGACCCATGGATGTGAACTAAGGAGGGGGGGATGCTGGAGGGAGGGGGTGCAGAGTGGAGGGGGATAAGAGGGAAGGGAAAAAAAGGGACAACTGTAACAGCATAATCAATAAAATATACTTAAAAAAATAATCTGCTTTAGAAAGGTCTTTAGATATACAGGAAGACTGCTTGCAACAGATTTTGTGAAAAACAAAGAGGGAAAATTTTTGCATTGTCTTGGCCTTGTGGTCTAAAGCACATGCCTACTTCTATAAGAGCAGTCATTGAGTTTTGCTTCTTATTGTTCACTTGCCCCAGCCAGATGGCTGGTGCCATGTGTCAACCTCAACAGGATTTTACTTGGCAGGCACATTTCCACAGATAAAGGAAGTCTGCCTTTTGTCAGGCTTTTTTTTTTTTTCCTTTAAACTGTTATATTGAAAGGTAGAATTTTGTATCAAAGAAGTGTGTTGGTTGTCAGTGCAGAAGTATAGGAATATGAGACGTCTAGAAGGTATCCAGCCATGTAATATGGAAAATAGAGACATTTATTAAAGAAGATACAAAATACAAAAAACATTGTACATGGGACAATGACACCTCAGCCCCCTTCAAAGTAAACACCTTGGGACACAATTCTTCCAGTTGCCATCAGGTACCCCATTGTATTTTCCTGAATCTCATTGGATGGTCTGAAATCTCTTCCTTTTCAAAGGTGATTTTAGTTTTGGGAAAAGCCAGAATTCACAGGGTGCCAAATCTGGGCTGTAGCATAATTGAGTCACCTGGGCGATTTGATATTTTACAAAAAAAAAACTGCACAACCCACGATGCATGAGCGGGTATGTTGATGTGATGAAGGTGCCAATTACCAGTTGCCCATAGCTGTGGTCTTCTGAATCATCTGAATAGTTTTGTGGAGGAATGTTCAAGCCTAACGCAAAATTTGATGCAGATTCATTGCTCTACTTGTTCAGTCATTTTTCAAAAATGTATTTATTTTTAAAGATTTTATTTCTTTTTAGAGAGAAGAAGGGAAGAAGAAAGAGTTGGAGAGAAACTTCAATGTGTGGTTGCCTCTCATGTGCCCCCTACCACGGACATGGCCTGCAACCCAGGCCTGTGCCCTGACTGGGAATCAAACTGGAGACCGTTTGGTTCACAGGCCAGCACTCAGTGCACTGAGCCACAGCAGCCAAGGCTATTTATTTTTATTTGATTTTAGGGAGAAAGTGAAACATCAGTTTGTTGTTCCACTTATTTGTGCATTCATTGGTTGATTCTTGTATGTGCCCTGACTGGGAATCAAACCAGCAACCTTGGCATATCTGGATGATGCTCTAACCAACTGAACTACATGGCTAGGGCCTCTCTGAGTCATTTTGAATGAAATGGCCACACAGTACACATGCTCACTCAATGGCGCCTATGAACCCCTACTGACCAACACAGTGAAGTCGTCATTGTTCATGCGTGCACATTCCAGTCCACTCTCCTTGGCTGCCAGGTTACATCAATGTCATGCAAACCATTTTCTTTATATTAACATCAATGTCACGCAAACCATTCTCTTTATATTATATTATATGGGCTTTTTTCGGACAGACCTTGTACAGTCTTTTAGTCCAATAAAGCAGATCCATGTGTAGTTTATGTGCTACTGATGTCAACTCCATAAGTACAGAAGACCTTTATGTACTCTTTGCATTGCTACTTTCAGTATGATTCCCAAAGTTTATGACGTACTAATTTTTTATTTGCTAGGGCATAAATATTTGTTACCTCTACCTGTGGGAGTCAGTCATTTAGTCGACAAAACTAACTGGTCACCCAACCCTTAAATTTCAACAGACTTTACTCTTCTCTAAATTCCCCACCTTCTCCTTCCTTTCCCCCCCACACAAAATTACATGGTCCTTAAAAGGAAAGTTTGCAGTATGAAAGGGAAGAGTTGTAAAAAAGTGATGGTTTTGAGCATGGGAAAAAAATGAATTAAAAACAGTATAAATTAAGGGATTGGCTGATTTAGTGGTGGTTTATATCTATGACTGAATAAGCCCTTTATTCAGAAATTAGAAGTTTGATTAAATGTTGTATCTAATGCTAAGACCGAATTTTGGGGCAGGAGTTGTATGCTCTGTTAGAATTCTCTAATTCTGAAATTTGAGAAGTTGTAAGGTGTTTTTGTTTTTGTGGATGCTGAGACTATTATAGTTAACAAACATTAAAAATCTCATAATTTATCACACAAAATATTGTCCTTAATTCTATGTAGGGTTTTTTTTTGTTTTTGTTTTTTGTTGGGGTCAAAAGTGAATGACACATTTGCATTTCTGTTTTTTTAGTATTAGGTTGGCCAAGAAGTTCATTTGTTTTTTTTCTGTAAGTTGGCTCTGGTAGCACTTAGTTGTCTTTAACTTCATTGGAAACAATTTTGTTAGATTGTATTGTGACAGCTGTCATAGCAACCTTCATTTAAAAAGCACTTACCATTGTTGGTGAATTTTTATGTAGCCATTTTAATATTGAAGATGGAAGAAAATACACAACACTTTCAGCATATTATGCTTTATCATTTCCAGAAAGGTAAAAATTCATCTGAAATGCGTAAAAAGATTTGTGCAATGTATGGAGAAGGTGCTGTGACTGATGGAACATGTCAGAAGGTATTCGTGAAATTTCATTCTGGAGATTTCTTGCTGGATGGTGCTCCACAGTGGAGTAGACCAGTTAAAGTTGATAGTGATCAAATCGAGACATTAATTAACATCATGTCATGCCAGAGATAGCCGACATACTCCAAATATCAAAATCAATAAAATTACTGTTGAAAATAAAAAAATGTGTTTTTTATTTTACGGAAAAAGCTAAATAGATTTTTTGGCCCACCCGATATATACTATGTATCCTAAATAGTAACAGTTGACTAAAATTGCTCTTAAGTACAGCTTCCTTTTCAAAATGTTGATTGTCTCTGGTTTTTCCAGTGGTGTGCAATGGAGTTTAACATTAAGTTAGTTAGTCTCTTATGATGAAAATATGTCATTCTATCTATTTCTGAAGAGTTCTTTCATAAAAAAAACAAGCCATTCATTAGCACAGATATATCTTGAGATTACTTTTTGAGATACATTATTTTTAAATATCTGGTAAGTTGCCAGATTCACATCTTTCTCTTTTAATTTTGAAGAACATAATCCCAGTGTAACATTTATATTGTAAACTGGGGCAGGAAAGTTTGATTTATTTTTGAGGGAAAATATTTAGCATTTTAGTATCAGTAATTTATTTATGTAAAATTGGTAAATAAAATACATCAATGGAAAAGGTTAGTTAAAAATAATATTGTATTGAAGATTTTCTATTACATGATGTTATAACATTTTTAAAAAGTGCCAAACCAGAGCTATAGATAGAACAAAATGGTTCAGTTCACATTTGTGGCCAGAAAGTCAAAGGGATATGAAGGAGGGAAACCCTTACAGTTCATTCTTCACTGCTGTGAAGGAGGAGGAACGCAGAGATGCGGCAAAAGATAAGTGGGCCACTTGCCTGAAGAAGCAGGTGGTGTACACAGTTATTATTAAACAACTAATGTATTCAACTGAAGGGCCTAAAGTTTTTGCTGCCTAAAAGTTTATTTTTCTGTTTTAATTTTTTTAATGTTTATAGTAAAAGAAATTTAATTTAAATGGAAATTTAGTAAAATGAATGTTAAGGTGCTCTTTGAGCAGAAGCATACTACCCCCTACATTACCTTCCACATTGCAAAATTTGAAAGTAGTGAGCTTTTTAAAACAAGAATGCTAAATTGTATAAAGTGTATTGACTTTTTTTTTGGAATGGTACTATTTACAAATACATAGTATTTTTGAAGTGTTTAATTTTACACTTTATATATCTGTTCTCTTATTTGAAATCTCTCAGTGACTTGGTATTATATGAATTGTCATATAAAGATTAGGAATTAGACCCTGGCCAGTATGGCTTAGTTGGTTGGAGTGTCGTCCTGTGGACTGAACGTCCCGGGGTCTGATTCTCGGTCAGGGCACGTACCTGGTCGGGGCATGTATGAGAAGGCAACCGATGGATGTTTCTTACCTCGCTGTTTCTTTCTCTCTCTCCCTCTCTCTTTCTCCTTCCCCCTCTTCCAGTTGAACCAAAATTTTAGCAGCGCTTATCTTTTGGGTGGTGGAATTTTGATTATTTTATTTTTATGCTTAATCTTATTGTTTATCTTTCTAACAATGCATATGTTTCATTTTTATAATCAGAAAAAGTGAAAACTATACATTGAGTCCAAGAAAAAGCCAGTGAAAGGAATATGTGAAGTCGTTTGACCAAATAATTTTTCTTTACAGACACGTCAAGTTCTCGAAGAGCTGACTGAGTTGCCTGTTATGGTGGAGCTAGCCAGTGATTTCCTGGACAGAAACACACCAGTTTTTCGAGATGATGTTTGCTTTTTTATTAGTCAGTCAGGTATGCTAATTTTAAAGACTTGAAGAAAAGGAAAATCATTTTTGTAATAATTATCTTGGCAAAAATTGATATTTAAAGATGAAGTTTATTTTGATATTATATAATTCTTAATGAATTAGTAAAATTAACACATTTTAACCCCCGAAGAGCTGACTTTTCAAAGACAAAGAAGGAAAGAAGATCCTAAAAAGAAGGATCCTATTATTAAAATTTTGCTAATTCATTATCTTAAGTGCTTGCTTTAAATTTTGTTTGAAACATGATTTTGTTGAAAGTGTAGTTAGTTTTTTGTTTTCACATCTAAGAAACAGCATATATTAACTGTGGTATGTGTTGCTTTTTTTATACACAGGCGAGACAGCAGACACCCTGATGGGTCTTCGGTACTGTAAGGAGAGAGGAGCTTTAACTGTGGGGATCACAAACACTGTTGGCAGTTCCATATCAAGGGAGACAGACTGTGGGGTTCACATTAATGCTGGGCCTGAGATTGGCGTGGCCAGCACAAAGGTAAATTCTTGACTTAGTTCTTACGTGATTATTTAATCACAGTGTTTGTGAAGAAGACTAATCCATATCTTGTATTTCACTTGTCAGCACTTCTAGAACTCACAGTTTATTAATTACTGTAAGGCTTAGGGGTCAACGATAGATAAAACATTTGTTGTCCCTTCCCTCACCCTCATTTTACAAATTTATAAGGCCAAATGTATATTAACATAGTCAGTTTTGAAAAGGTCCCTGCTGGCTATCCCCATTTATCACTTATATTCCTCCTGCCAGGTGCAGTGGTAAGTATAATATTCCCTTCTTTTATTATGTATAGCAGGGAATTAAAAAAATAGCAAATTAGAAACATTCACTTTAATTCTAATAATTTTTGACATTTTTATTTACATATTTATAGTTTCTAATAACTATGCCAAATTAATCATGCTACCTTTGAAAGTTTGTAAAGAGGAGTATACCTTTGGTACAGAATTTGGCAATTAGAAAAATAAAAATGAGTGATATGTAAGTATGCGTTTCTCTGTAGATACTTCATCTGTGGAGATTTAAAAGCACCTTTAATTTTTTTAAGGCCTAGTGGGACTACTTTGCTCTTTTGAAATTGGGGTATGCATAAATATAGTAATAAATATAGGAATGTTAGAAAATGTATAAATATAAAGATATTCTATCTCCACAAATGTATTACTCTTTATGATTAAAAAATTTCAGTTGTCTTTTTCTGTCAGTTCAATATTTCTTGCTTATTGTCTGGTAAAATATTTAGGTATTTGTGGATTTGATTCTAATCAAAGGCATGTGGACGATGATGTTAAATTAACATGTATATAACCATATTCCATTATTTTTTCTTTTAAAGAACCTCATGGAGAATTTTTTGTGGAAAATTTGTGATTCTTATATAAAAACTGATGAGGTTTTGTTTCTTGGTTATTTTGATGCTGCCAACACTGTAATTTACAGAAAGCTGAACTCTGAATTTTCTCCATGTGGTGATTAAAACATGTAAGATGTTTGTGTTTGGGTTTCTAGTCTGTGCCTGAATAAATAACCAACTGCCCTAACAGGAGCTTGTGAATTTTTGGAGTAGTGTCCAAAAAGACAGCCTTGATTGGGAACTGGAATCTCAGGGCCCCTTTACTCACAGCACATTGTCAAGCGAGGCCTTCAATGTGGTATACGTCCATACATCAACTGAATGGATGCTATTGACTTACTTTTTATTCTATCTTTCTTGAACTGTGAGTTGCCATGGGAAATACAACTTTTTTTGATTTCCAATTCTGTAGCTTATGAAAACTTTAATTTTGCTCAACATTTTATTATGATAATTTACAAACACACAGCAGAGTTTAAAGAGTTTTACATTAACATCCAAATATACCTGTCACCTAGACTTTACTGTTAACGTGTTTTCTATAGCTTTTTTGAGGTACAATTTTCATACCATAAATAACACTCACCAGTTTTTAGGTGTACAGTTTTAGTAAATTTGGCTCTCTACCATCACAATCCAGTTTCAGAAGACTGACTTGAAAGTTTCTTTATGCCCATTATAGTCAATGCTCACTTCTTCCCCTCAGCCTCAGACAACTACTATTGCTTTCTCTTGTTATATCATTTTCTAGAAAGTTCTTATAAAGGGAATTATATAATGTATGTCTTTTGTGTCTGGCTTCTTCCAATTAACATGAGTTTTTTGAGATTTATTAATGTTGCTTTTTGTATCAGTGGTTCTTTTTTTGTAAGTCCTTTTTTTTAAAAAAAAAAAGTCTTTATTTTGAAATCACTAGTTTTATCAGATGTTGTAAAAATAGTACAGAGAAGTCCATGTACTTGTCACTCAGTTTCTCCCAGTGGTTACATCTTGTGTAAGAAAATCAGTATCTTTTACATAAGTACATATTTTAATTTCTTTAAAAAAATGACTCCCTTAAAATTTTTAGTTAGTATGCTGATTTAGTCTTACTTTAATTTTTCTTGGATTCTAAAGTAATTCTGTTTTTTCAACAGCCTTAAAGAATCTTGAAAAGATTGGAGATGTTTAGTCTTAGACCATTTCTGAATGGCAGATATAAGTTTATATGTTAATAGATGATCAAAGAAGTTCATGATTAATACTGTTCCCCGGGCCCCATGTTGGAACTAGGCCCCGAATTCTATAATCTTGATTTCTAATTCCAAACATTGCCTGAAAAACAGTCAGGGTTAGAGATACACTACTTTCTCATAATATCAGACCATAGACAATTTGATATATCTGAAAGGAATTAATGGGTATAAATGTGCAGGTTCAGCAATTTTTGTGTTATTGCAGGTGTTTAGAATTTCACCACAGTACTGACTTTTGTTGAGTTTTTAAAAAAAATAAACTAATATAACTTTATTTTTAGCTGAATAAAAAGTAAAACCAAGTTTAAAAGTTCAGAGTCAACATTTTCCTGGTAAATTCTTTCAAACCTCAGAAAATCCAAAATGTGAAATATAACTTATTTTTCTCATAGGTTTCCTGGTATTTCTTGATGAAATGAAAAACATGAAATTAAGCTGTGATAGGAATACAATGGAAAAATGTATGCATTAAAGTTACTATGTTTAATACTGGTACTTGAAAACTAGTGTTGATATATTTCAAGTCGAAAGAAACATTACTCTGTAGAATGACATTTTCAGTTCTGGCCTAGAGAAACTGGAATACTCATCTGATCAGTTTTGATTGGAAACATGGGTCCAAGATACTGGGTCTCTCTCTCTGTCCTGATAGTATATTTTATGATTAATCGTAAACTTTAGTAGGAAAAGGTAGACTGGAATTTAGAATACAGATGTGCTTATTAGGTTAGAGCAAGGGACTGCAAACCCTCTTCGGTGCTGAGTAAAAACCCCAGTGTGCCAGTGGAATACGTAGGGGCACAGGAACAAGTAGCTGTATGTGGAGGAATGTCTGAGCAGCTCTCATAGCTGAGAGGTTCAGTAGGAGGAAACAGGGAATCTCATTTAAGTATTGAGAAGATAAGGAGCATTAGCAGACTGTAATTTTATTGTACAGGGGGCTCATCCACATTATGACAGGAAAATGTTCACTAATGAAGTGATTCCTTATCCAGAGAAGAGAAATAGAGAGTCAGCATATAATCCACACATACATACTCACAGAAATTAATTAATTAATTAATTAATTTCCTAAAGTCAAAGTTACACATAACATTGTAACTGACTACACCATTGTAATCCTAGTGATTTAATAATAAATGTTTGAGTAAAATCCTCAAATGCCTAAAACATAAAAAGATTCCTCTAAATAGCTGTTGAGTTAAAAAGATATCAGAACTACTATTAAAAAAGATTTAGAAAAAATGACAGTGAACAATATGGGTAAAAATTTAGAGTGTGTGGCCAAATTAATAATTAGAGGTAAATTCATAGTGTTAAATGCTTTATCTTAAAAAGATTTAACTCAAAAGTCAGAAAAAGGAACTCAAGGCAAAGGGATCAAATAATAGAGAAAAATGAATGAATGACCTGCAAAACAGAAAGCTTCAGGACCTTCACCTTAGAGGGCCTTAGCTGTTCTTCTGGAACCTTCCTAGGAATTTATCTGTATTACCGTGAAGTAAAAAAATGTGGCCTTAGAATCTTTCCCAACACGATGTTTCACTGTGACTACTAATGAGTTATGATTGGCTCTCTGTGAAATATATTTGCTATCCTAGTTCTAGAAGTTCTATCCAGTTTAATAGAAAAAGGTAAGTAAAACAATGAGAAAGGAGGAAACAAAATTCTTATTTACAATTGATATGATTATTTGTAAAGCTCAAGAATATCAAGTAAAAGACTTCTTAGAATGAATAAGAATTCATATAAGGTGCTTTACATTAAACATTTATTTTCTCTACAAACTGACAGTGGCTACTTAGAAAAGATTGGATGTGTATGTTTGGAGGGGAATTCTATTTTCAATAGCTTTAAAAAATAATTTAAAATAACTTTACCAAGAAATGTATAAGGTGCTCCATAAATATTTATTGAATTAGATTATGACTATATTAACTTTATAGATTTTTAAATTCCTAACACAAATTGATGAAATACCATATTTCTGGATGGGAAGATTGTTTTGTAAAGAAAGAACAGATCTGTGAGACAGAATCAATAGTCCTGCAACATTGCTCTAGTATATCAAAGTACTTAGATTATTGGAAATGTCAAAACCAGTAAAGAAAGGATTTTTGTATTTATAAAAATAGAAAAACATAAGTTAACATCTTGCACTAAAATTAATTTTAGATGAACTAAAAAGGAAAGTGTAAAGACAGTTAAATAAAAAAGGACAATGAAAACAGAACTAAGGAAATTTAATAATACTTAACTGATGTTAGGATGGAAGAACTGTTTAAACTTAAAAGTACTACATAAAAGTTAAAAAAAATAAAACTTCTCTGTCAGTAAACATTATTATGAAAGGTTAAGCCAAACTGGGAAAAAGTACAGTGGTACCTTGGTACTCATTGCTAATTTGTTCCAGAACTTTGACGAGTGCTGAAACCAATGAGTACCAAACATTGAAGCATTTTCTCTTGTGAGGTGGTGTCATGGCTTATACAAGTTCTAGCAGGTGTGATGAGTCCTGAGCAAGTGCTGACTGCTGAAACATTTTTTTCTCATCAAAATGCGACAAGTACAGGGTTTGATGAGTTCTGAAGCCAACAAGTACCGAGGTATGACTATTTGAAACATAACAGTAAAGAGCTTCTAATGAACAATTAAAAAAAACAAAACCCTAAGTTGAAAAATAAAACAATGAAGTTAGTTCTTTAAAAGAGAAAACATAAATGGATAAGCATGAATAAATATCTTAATTTTTTAGATTCAAGATATATATGGTAAAGTAGTAGTAAGAGTCCATCGTCCATCAGTCAATGGTAAAAATCTGTTGAAAGGATAATTCTCAATATTATAAAGAATGTGACAAAACAGTCATATCTTACATTCACATATGGCTAATGGGAATAAAAATAGTCTTGGCAGTGTGACTGCAGGTTTTAAAATACAAATCTATAGTTTAGGAAAACCTTACGAACTAAATAATCTTTTAGTTCCTTTCATCAATAAAAAGTTTGTTTTTAACCTATATGTCAGGTATTATGCTGAATGATTTATACTTGTCTCACTTAATTCTCATGATTATCTTGTAAGTATTGTGTATCTTGAATTTACAGATGGGCCATCTGAGGCCTAAAGAGATAGAAAAACTGCTTAAGGTTATTATATACTAGTAAAGAAGAAAGAGAGCATTCTGTCTTGGTAAAGTGTTTGTTATGTTAATTAAGAATAAAAGCAAGTTTATAAAATTGTACCTACTAATAATTAATTTTCTAAATAGTATAGAAAAGAAAAACAGATTAGAAGGCAGTATTCACAAATGTTATTAATAGCATGCTATTAATGTAATTATTCCTTTAATAAGATGGAAGAGTATTCTTATTTTTATTTACTTTTATAGAGATGAACTTTAAAAATATTTTTAGTGAAACTTTAAAGCGGTGGGAGTGAGGAGCAAGCAATATGCAAAGGTGAAAATCAAAGGCCAGTTTTTAAAAATTCAACAAAAACAGTACAAGTATGTCAAGGAGAATCCTTTAAACCCTTGCTTTTACATCAAAACTTAATTTAATTACACTTATGCAGATTATCTCTCTACCCACTTCCTTTGACATGTCTCTTCTCAAGTGTATTAAGGATTTCATAAGCATCCAATGCATTGTAAGGAACTTTTATTTTGTATCTGGAAATAAAGTTTAAGCCATTTGTTCAAATTCAGAAAAGGAGAAGAGTGATAGGTTTCCTAAGCACTGGTTCAGTTCACTGTTACTAATGCTGTTTATTAAAAAATGGACAATATATGGGAAAATGGGAATTTGTTTTCATCTTTTTTAAATGAAAAATTCCAAGTTCTTAAAACGCAGCTGCTTTTTTGTGGTGTTTCAGGCTTACACCAGCCAGTTTGTATCCCTTGTGATGTTTGCCCTTATGATGTGTGATGACAGGATCTCCATGCAAGAGAGACGCAAAGAGATCATGCTTGGACTGAAGCGGCTGCCTGGTACGGAGATGCTCTCATCCTACACTTTCGTTGTCTAAGGGAATCAGTAGGGTGAACTTCTCTTTTTATTCTGGAAGCTGTGGCTTCTAGCTGTTTAGTTAACAAATCTTTTTACTTTTGCACCTGTGTATTTAAAAATCCCTCCCTGATATCACAAAGGAGTAGAAACACAGGTCTTTGTCGGTTGCTACCAATATATTACTGTTACTATGTCGGTTCTGTTTAGTGTCCTTTTTTCGTATATGTTGCTAATGTTACTTCTCAACAGATTTGATTAAAGAAGTGCTGAGCATGGATGATGAAATTCAGAAACTGGCAACAGAGCTTTATCATCAGAAGTCGGTCTTGATAATGGGACGTGGCTATCATTATGCTACTTGTCTTGAAGGGGCACTAGTAAGTCTTTTCACTTAAAATTTTAGTCTATTGACTTAGGGACCTGCCACATAATATTGAAATAGGTGAAACTTTTACAAGTACCTTTCTTCTTTATGCATTCTGATTTGTTTGCTTTGAGAAAGTATAGCAATTGATACTTAATTCAAAAGTGAAAATCAGTAAGAGTACATTTTAGCATGATTTCTTGGGCTTAGCCAGTAACTTGGGTTAATTTGTTGTCCAAATATGAATAAAATAAAGATAACTTGTCTAGATGTGGGATTTAATTCAAGTCAAACATTAACCAAGGAGGAGAATCATTACAAAGAAATATGAGCACATTCATAATATCTAAAATCTTGAAAAAGTCCCTATAGAGTTTTAAAACTTCTAGGCGCGTGTTGATGTTAAGGAAATAATGATCTGTTAGCCTGTTTTATTTACAGATCCATGGTCCCTTAGTACTTTGGATAACTAAACAGTGACTTCAGAGAGCAGATGTTTTGTGTGATATTTACTTAAGAATGGGTTTTTGAAAAACTGAAGACTAATCTAGTTTTTCCAATTAGAAAATCAAAGAAATCACTTACATGCATTCTGAAGGCATCCTCGCTGGTGAATTGAAACATGGCCCTCTGGCTTTGGTGGATAAGTTGATGCCTGTCATCATGATCATCATGAGAGATCACACTTATGCCAAGTGTCAGAATGCTCTTCAGCAAGTGGTTGCTAGACAGGTAAGTCTGGGGCTGCTGTGAGCTCACCTTGGGGTTTGGGCCACTAAAGCTTTCTTGAATTGTATGGCATTTAAAGTGATAGACCAATGCCCGTTAGTTAGCTTACAAAATGTGTTTAGGTTTGCATGTGAGGAGTTTGAGATACTCAAGTTGTGAGAGGACCCAGCTCATAGATCTCATGATAGTCAGAATTAAGACGAAAACTGACTTCTTGGTCTTCAAAGCCTGTCCTCTTCAACTAGGTTTTGGTACTCCCTTTTAATTTAATGCCCTTAAACGTCGATTTTAGGAGGAACTAGATTTTGCATTAAAACTATAGATGCTGTTTGTAACAGAGTTATCTTCAGATCATTTGGCTTTATTTATAAATCCAAAAAGATACCAATCGCTACTCATAATGTAGTGTTTATGAACTTGGGCTTTGAAGGTAGGCAGATCTGGATTCAAGTACAAATGTTCCCTGACTTTTGATGGTTTAAGATTTCTCGTCTTTATGACAGTGTGAAAGCAATATGTATAATAAATTATATGAGATATTCAATACTTCGTTCTAAAATAGATTTTGTGTTAGATGATTTTGCTCAACTGTAGGCTAATAAGAGTATGCTGAGCATGTTAAAGGTAGGCTAGGCTAAGCTATAATGTTTGGTAGATTGCATGTATTAAAGGCATCTTTGGTTTATATTTTCAACTTACTATGAGTTTATAAGCTGAGGAGCATCTGTACTGAGCCTGCTGTTTCTTAGTTGTGTGAGTTTAAATAAATTACTGACTCCAGCAAAGCTTCCATTTCCTTGACTGTAAGTGAGATCAATCTGACTTACCACATAGGATTGTGAGTTTAAGTAAGTCTGTGAGGCCACATGCAAATTGTGGAGCGCAGAATTTGCACATTCACACGGTACAGTTCTGCCTTTGCCAAACAGCGATTGTGTGTGTGGCTTTCTTCCCCAGGGACGCCCAGTGGTGATTTGTGACAAGGAAGATACGGAGACCATTAAGAACACAAAAAGAACAATTAAGGTGCCCCACTCAGTGGACTGTTTGCAGGGCATTCTCAGCGTGATCCCCTTGCAGTTGCTGGCTTTCCACCTTGCTGTGCTGAGAGGCTATGATGTAAGTGACAGACCGTGCAGAAGTCTTGGGCTGCCTTTTTACCCCAGTATATTCTGATAGTTTTCTTTCTAAATATTTAACGAAATATTTAACAGTGGCATTTGAGAAATCTATCAGATACATATCTGTCACCTGTTAGATTTGCATGGCCCAGTTTTTAGGTTACATTGTAGCATTTTCTTACCCATAGAACGTAAAGGAATCTTGGAGATTATCGCCACCATCAGAGATTACCTTCTTCGGGAATCGCCACCTGTTTTTATTCTGTATTTCCTAGTGGGGTAGCTATTAGCAATTCTTTGTTTGGGACTCTCTCACATATTGCAGGCTTTTCACAATTCTTGATCCCTCAGCCATGTGACAGTCAAAACCTTCTGCTTTTATATGAGTACATTTCTACTGTCCCCTCAGAGGGCTGCCACCTCTATTGAGGACCACTAGAACTTTTCGTGTGCTGAACTGGCACTTCTAGAATTCTTTTTCCTGATTTTGACTCTTTTTATATTTTCTAATCTGATTCTTTGTAGACAGTAATAAACATGTTTACAAACAAAAAATTTTGCTTCTAGAACTCCCCTTTCCCCCCTGCAAATCTATATAATTTCTTTAATCTTGCTCTTTTTTTTGCAGGTTGATTTCCCCCGGAATCTTGCCAAATCTGTAACAGTAGAATAAGGAGCATTTGAAACTCTGGGCGATTAAGCAACACAAGAGACCTTTTGTATTTAAAACCTTGATTTAAAATATCACTCCTTTAAACCTTTTTTAGTAAATCCTTATTTATATATCAGTTATAATTATTCAACTCAATTTGTGATTTTTGTGAAATTACCTCATATTTTTCCAGTAATTTGTCGGGGAGTTTGAAAAATGGAATCTATATTCAAATCAATATCAGAAACAGATTTAGCTTCCATTTTCTTTAAAGGAGGCTGGGTGTTGGATTTCTGGACCCTCTACTTCAACCTGAGAGGATTGTGTGTTTTAAAAGTAATTGACATTTATTGGAAGTTCTGAAGTCAGTGGCAATGTGTTTGGATATTCGATTAAGGTTTTGCTAAGTTATGTAAAAAGAGAAGATGCTGTGATTTATTTTGGAATTTGTTTGTGTACTTAAAAACTAAAAGCTTTACTTGGTGGCATTTTTACCTAAGTTAACTTTAGTCTCTCAAACTGTTGTTTGTTATCTGTAGGTCGATGTAGTTGAGGAAGCTAAACGGTATAGTAATGCATTGGTTTTCTCCAGCCCTTAACAGAAAATATTTGTACAGTTTCATAGCACAAACTTTAAATTTGAGCTGCTTTGGACAACTGACAACAAGATCTTAAGTTTGAAGATGGAATATATATATACATGTTGGATAATTGACTGTGTTTTTCATCTCCTATAAGTGGTTTTTATTTCTTTGTATTTGTAATTTTTAAAAATCAATCACTGCTGAATGACATATTCTATCTTGTTCTTTGAAATTACCACACAGAATTGTCATCAAATGTCTCAAATTAAATCAGTATTGATATAGTCAGAATTCTCTTCACCTTTGTCCCAAAGAAGAATTTCCTGCAGTTAATTTAACTCGCCTTCACTGTCTTGTATAAGACTCTTACGTTTGTGCGAGTTTGGAAGCTCTTTGCGGTTGTTTGGAAGATTTGCAGGTCTTTTAACTAATCATTTATGGTGGGCGAGGCTTAGAAAAAGGTATATGTTTTACACAGAAATTAATGAAGGATTACATCAAATTCAGTACAGCCATACCTTGGGAATATTGCAGGTTTGGTTCCAGACTGCCGTAATAAAGTGAGTATTGCAATAGAGCAAGTCTTAATCTTTTTGCTGATGGAGGGTCTCACCTTCAGTTTGTAAAAAAAAAGCAAAACATCTGTAAAGCACAATAAAGTGAAGCACATTAAAATGAGGTATGCCTGTATTATTTCCAAGGTATTTTTCTCTTTGTGTTTTCTGTGTTCTACCCTTGAAATTTATTTAGGAATGAAAAAAATATAAATATAGTAATACTGAGGTGCTTGTAGCTGGCTAGTGTCAGAAATGGAAATTAACAATTTAGATTAAAATACTTAAACTATGAGTTTGCCACTCAAAAAGTTGTAATTTCTTCATAGGGCTCTTTGGCCAAATCATGGGGGTTATAGGAGAGTGTGTTTATGTTTTGATCAAATACTCTTTCAGAAGTTTTCACTTTAAAATTGTGAGAGTAAGACACTTAGCATAATTATGAAAGCTCAATCTTTTCCTTTTTCTGTGTTTGAACTTTTTCATGAGGTTAAGATTTTCTGACAGCAGTTGCTGCAAAAGAAGCATAGAATTCTGCTTGTGTATTGGATAAAGAATTGGCACATTTTGATGTTATTTGGGAGGACTCTCATTGATGGTGACTAGAAGCCTTACTGTTTTTAAAAATAAAATAGGGTTACTATTTGCATCATATGTATAACTACTATAGCTGTATTTATCTATTTTAATTGTTTCTAAGATTATTTTGTGTAGACTTGCTAGTTTTAATGTTCATATGGTGTCATTTCTTATGCTTATTATATTAGCATTTACACACATGGTTTGTATGGGTTTGTAGCATTTCTTGAATACAATGTCTAGTCTATCAAATTCATCTAAAGAGCAGTGAAGGTTTTCCAAATTCTCAAGTTTAAAGAGCCAGGATTCAGAGATTCCCAACATAGATTTCACAGTGTTAAAAAAAGCAAAATTTAACTGAGTAAATTTGAAGATCTGACTTTATTTAAGCAGTTAATGCATTGGGCAGCATCCCATCTACAACTAGAAGGGTGTGCCTTGTAGCGTTTCTTACAGATCTAACGTTTGATTCAGCATTCTAAGTGAAAAGTAATATATGAAATCAATCCTGAGTTCTCAGTCTCTCTCTCTCTCTCTCTCTCTGCCCCAACCTGTTCTCTCTCCCTTGCCCTAGCGTACACATACACACTCTTCAAAACAGGGGAAGTTCTAAACCAAATATCAAAAACTTAATAGTAAGAAAAAAGAAATGATATTTTCCAAACATGATTTCTCCTCCTTGTCGCTTCTTCTTGCTTCCTACCCCATTTAATGTAGTGATTTTTAACTTCTTTTAGGAGTTATGAACACAAAAATGTTACTGTAGTGAGGCAAACCACTGATTAGTGTGCATGCCCAGTTAAAACCAATGTAATGCAGGATAAGAAAATCTGATTTTCAAGAAAGACACTCTACGAAAGAAGTCTTTTATATAAAAAGTTCTTGTAGTACAATTAAAGTTTAAATTCATTCGTATGTAGTGTAGAGTTCCTTATCCCAGGACATGAGCCCTTTTTAGGCTTGGGGTCATGTGTAGCATTTAACACAGGGCTTAGTAAATGATTGTTACTTCAGACTCAGCTTTTCGCTCTTTCTTTAATTACCTATGCCATAGGAATAAATGATGAGAGAGAAATTAATGTTAACTGTTTTTAGTTTGTTATAACTATGTCAGCAGCCTACAATGGGCAAGTCACTGTGCTAGGAACTGAAAAGTGCATCTTGTTTAAAGCAAAGCCCATTTGTTCCCAGGTGGACTCATCACTAGTGAAGATGGGATCGTTGAAAGGGACAGGGTGAGGAAGTGGAAAAAAGGAGTTGAGCTGGGTTGTTCAATGTCATGAGTAGATTTGTTCACTTAAATCATGGTCCCATTTGTGGGGTGTATCATGTTCATAAAGGGTGAAATGCGTTTTGTAGGGTAAGCTGTTGTCACAGGCTGTAGACCCCTGTATCTGTGGTGCTCCTAGGATCAGCACTCATTAAATGCGAAGGCGAAAAGCAATGAAGCATCAGTACTCAGAGGAAACTGACAGGGTGGTGTGCAGGTGGGGCCGTGGCGTAAGGGAGCTAATACAGATTTTCTTTCTCCGGTTTTTTAGAAAGTTGTTTCTGAGATGATATTGTCTTATCCTATTGAATACATGTCCCTTGGCTTGAGTTAAATAAGTGGATGGGAAGAAAAGAGCCTTTTTTTTTTTAGTTCCTTGTTAATGTTCCTTTGACACTTCTGTTAACTCTTCAAGTGAGGTAAACCACCTAAAGGTTTGCTTTAACGAACATTTTAAGAAGTCCTTTGGGGTCAGTTTTTTCCTTCAATTTTTAAAAAACTAGAATATACTATAACAATAAAAGGGAGATACTCATGTTAGCCTATGGTATGATACAACTGAAGTGATTTTTTTAAAAAGCACAGTGTCATTGAAAGGTGTTTATTGAAAAAGAATTCATAGCTCATGTTGAATTTGTGAAGGCCATAGAAATTGAAGGGGATAGTAAAGAAAGGTATTTTTAGTCTTACAGTCACATATTTTGTAAATTTTTTTTATACCAGAATACCAGATAGACTGTTTTACCCATTAAAGCATGATTTCAGATTGCTTACCTTGTTCTTAGCATTGGAATCAAGCTTAGAAGCTTTAACCCTTAAATCAGTTTTCTCCTAAAATATTTAAAGATTGTTAATATATCAGTATTTCCTTAGTTTGGTTAATTTAATCACATCTTCAGATCTTTGACATAACCAATAGGACTAATAATACTAGCTTCAAGCCAATAATACCCAAGGTTAAAATAAAATTATAGTTAATGAGCAAGACTGTAAGGTTATACCATATTAAATTGTAGGTGTATGATAGGCTGACAATCAATGTTAGGGAATATACCATAAATAATGGCTAGTGAGAACATTTAAGGAAATTCTTGAATTACCTTTTTTACTATACTGGGTTTCAGAATGAATATAGAAATTCTGTTAGCTTTTTAAATGTTCTGTGAGTGGATTTTTTGTTTAAATAAAACTTTTCGTATTTGTTTATATTTCTTGTGAGCTGCAAATTTTAGAATCATTCTTGATTTGCTTCAGTGTTCTGCTCTTTAAAATGAATGTTTAGTTCCAAAAAATTCAAGAGGAAGGAGGACTCCCAAGCTTATTTTACAAGACCAGCATTACCCTAATTCCAAAACCAGATAAAGACACTACAAAGAAAGAAAATATAGACCAATACCCCTAATGAACATAGATACTAAAATCCTCAACAAAATATTAGCAAACTGGATTCGACAATATATTGAAAAGATCATAAACCATGATCAAGTGGGATTTATTCCTGGGATACAAAGTTGGTACAATATCTGCAAGTCAATGTGATAAACACATAAATGAAACGAAGGATAAAAACCACATGATCACATCAATAGATGCAGAAAGAGCATTTGATAAAATCCAGCAGTTTGGAGCGTCGTCCCCTACACCAAGAAAGGTTGTGGGTTTGATCCCCAATCAGGGAACATACCTAGGTTGCAGGTTAGATGCCTAGTAGGGGTATGTACAGGAGGCAACGGATGAATGTTTCTCTTTCTCAAATCAATAAACACATCCTTATGTAAGGATTAAAAAAAATGTTTAAAAATCCAGCACCCATTGATGATAAAAACTCTTAGTAAAGCGTAAATAGAAGGAACATACCTCAACATAATAAAGGCCATAAATGACAAACCCACAGCCAACATCATCTTCAACAGGCAAAAAATAAGATTGGAAACAAGACAGGGATGTCTGTTTTCGTCAGTCTTACTCAATATAGCACTGGAAATCCTAGCCTCAGCAATCAGACAAGAAGAAGAAATAAAAGGGATCCAAACTGGAAAGGAACAGGTAAAACTCATTATTTGCAAATGATGTGCTATATATAGAGAGAACCCTAAATATTCCACTAAAAAACTCCTAGAACTGATAATTCAGTAAAGTAGGATACAAAATATTTAGAAATCTGTCCCATTTCTATACACCAATAATGAGCTATCAGAAAGAGAAACTCAAAACACAAACCCATTTACAATTGCATCAAAAAAAACCCCAAAAAACCTCAATAAACTTAACCAAAGATGTGAAATACCTGTACTCAGAAAATTATAAGACACTGGAGAAAGAAATTGAAGAAGATACAAAGAAGTGAAAGCCTATACCATGTTCATGGATAGGAAGAATTAACATCATTAAAATGTCCATACTACCCAAACAATCTATGTAGTTAACACAAGTCCTATCATACCAATTGTGTATTTTACAGAAGTAGAACAAATATTTTTAAAACATATAAAACCACAGAAGACCCCAAACAGCCACAGCAATCATGAGAAAGAAGGAAAAAGTTAGAGGAATCATACTATACTACGAGGCCATAATAGCCGAAATGGTATAGTACTGGTGTAAAAACAGATATATGGGTCAATAGAGTAGAGTCCAGAAATAAATCCATACCTTTATGGTCAATATTTGACAAGGGAAGCAAAAACATGCAAAGAGGTAAAGATAGTCTATTCAATAAGTGGTGTTGGAAAAAATGGAGAGGTACATGCAAAAAAAACCCAAACAAACCCCAAAACCCAAAAACCAAAAAAAAAAAAAAAAAAAAACTAGACCACCTTCTTACACCATACACAAGAATAAACCCACAATGTATTAAAGACAATATAATAAAAGTTTTAGAAGATAACTTAGTAAAATCTTGGACATTTCTCATAGCAGTATTTTTTCTGCTATATCTCCTTCGGCAAAGGAAACAAGAAAAAGTAAATGGGACTACATCAAACTAAAAAGTCTGTAAAGCAAAGGAAACCAACAAAATGAAAAAAAACACTAAATGGGAGGACATATTTGCCAATGAGATATCTGATAAAGGGTTAATATCCAAAATTTACAACGAAATTATAAAACTCAACACCAAAAAGCAATACAATTAAAAAATGGCCAAAGAGCCTGAATAGACAGTTCTCCAAAGAGGACACACAGATGGCCAATAGACATGAAAAGATGCCCAATGTCACTAATCATTAGAGAAATGCAAAATAAACCTCAATGAAATATCACCTC